TGAAACATCCGCAAGCTTAAAGGTTAGTGAAGTAAAAATCTCCATTTTAGTTCAAAATAATCGCAATTGTGATTTTTTGGCAAAATTTATCAGCCCCAATTTGATCAATAAGATAAATTTAGAAAAGAACACAATTCGTAAATAAATCAATCTGAAAAAATAAGAGAAAATGTAAACATTTAAAAACATAAAATCTGTATGAAAATGTTTAAAAACCAAATTTTAACATATATATAATTTTTTTAAACTTTAATCTGTACAAAATATTTAAAAAATATATGGAATAAATTAACTAATAAAATGTAAAACGTATAAAAAAAAATGAAGAAAAAAAAGTTCAAAAAATTATCTTGGACAAATAATTTTTTCTTCAAAGTTTTTTTGAACTGGATTGTTCTTTGCTTTAAACAAGAATTTCTATTGATATAAAAACCTCCATATTCATCTTTCATCTTTTCATTTTTATTTTCCATATTCATACATTGGTCTGGTCTGAGCCTTCAAAGGTTTGGATCCTGTTTTTTTTCTCTTCATTATTAATTTAATTGGTTTTTCTGAAGCCAATCAACTTGATTTAAGCTACCATAGTAAAGCCAGAGAAACTTAAAAAGAAAAAAAGAAAAAGGGGAGACACCTGATGTGAGAAAATGTGAGAACCATCTGAAATGCCCCAGAGACGAGCAACTAACCTCAATAAAGGACAGAATCCCTGAAAAAGAAACATCCATTCCCTTTACTGTGTACGGCAGCTGCACATATCGAGTTCCTCTGGAAGAAAAATTACAGAATCGTTTCCAGGCGGTTCACGGTGTGACAAACCGTCTAGATGCGTTTCTACTCACTTTTTGGCCATCTGCTCGATGTTGTACCCTGGGCTGGGATCATTGGAAATCTACAAGGGGATCCACCGTGGAGCGTTAGCATGAATGACTAGGAAAATCAGCCCAGCTGATGTCAACCAAAACCAACCTTGATAACTCTGGCAAACCGGTCCAAACAGTTGCCCACTGCGATGTCAATTGTCTCCCCGAATATCCTGTACTGCCGCTCCAAGTAGGCGATAACCTGCAACCAAAAAGCGAATCCTTCGAGACTCTCCAGGTCTATAAAAGCACTGAAATAAAATTCCAGACGTGCAGCTAGGAACCAGCAAAGAGAGACACTCACCTGGGTGTTCCCGCCGCTGACATACAGCACGGTGGGGTTGTTGGCTTTGGTGATGAGCCGGCCCATCTCGATGTGGCCGATGCAGTGGTTGACTCCCAGGAGGGGCTTCCCCCACAGCTGAGCGACTGTCCGAGCTACGAGGGCCACCGTTACCAAAGGGGCTCCCATACCTGGGCCTGAGGAATAGGGAAAGGAGGGGGAGGGGCTTATCAATAGGCTGATTTACCATTCAGATGCTGAGTACAAATTCAGGGGCTGCGTCCTCCGAAGGCCGATTACGTCATAGAGAGCCGCCAAGGTCTGTTCGGATTGCGAGACTCCTCGTCATGCAGCCGACACATGCAGCCTTCTTTTTCAAAGGACGGGTCCGGTGTATCCTAAGTAGCTTTTGGTATCCCATGATTCACTGCGAGTCAAGCAAGCCGGCTGATCCGTGCTCAGAGGAAAAAGGAAAATGGCGCCAAACAGTGGTGAATATTGTAAGTGCAGGTTAATATAATACAACTATGTGAATAGTTCCGTCTGAAATGAATGAAAATAGTTGTTTTAATGGTTACTGAGTCAGATATGTGGCGGTAATGTTTGGTTTATCTAAGGGTTTTATCTGTTACTGTGCAAATGTGTTTGGTTTTCATTTAAGCTCAGATTCCAACATAGCAGTGTGGGGACTATAAATCTGATACAGTACTGCTGCTGTAGCTCCTTTAAAATGTTTAATAAATAAGTAAATAAAAAGAAACAGCAGTGAGAAGTTTGGTATTCATTCTTTTCCTGCTTTGTGTGTCAACTCTCAAGGTTGCTAGGCGACAGAACGTGCAGGCGGCGAAAGCTGCGGAAGGCTAGACCTGTTTGATTCCACAGATGAAGCTCTTCCAGTCTCCTCATTTTCACAGACCTAAAAGGATCCGGTCGCGGTAAACCGGGTTGTTGAGGATGCAGCCTCTATAAAACTTTCACCAGTTTTTTTCATCCCCTCCTTAAATTGTTGCATAAATATCCATCAAAATCAAAACGACGACAAATGTTTAACGTTTCTAAATCACCATCTTCTTTGAGTGACTCTCTGGTTTTTATGACCTTTAGTGTACGCCACGCAGTCGATGTCTGCAGGCTTCAGGCCAGCTTGCTCCAGCGCCTCCTTCAGGACAGTCAGTATTACTGCACGATGATGCCTGGCTGTGTCACTCGGCATGAAACCTGGAAAGAATTAAGTACTGTCTGATTTTCTTTTTTTAACCTCCAAATGTGGACAAGGGAAGGAAAGGAGATTAAGTCGGCTCACCTTGGCCTGGCGGTGTAATGTAGGTCCGCCTCGGGTTGGACAGCACTTCACCATCCCTTATGATGCCGATGCCAATTTTGTTGGCACTTCCTTCAAATCCAATAACAACAGTCATGGCAGCTAAAGACAGAGAACAGGGACTAAAACAGCTGTAACTGGAAAATATTGCACTGTAAGCATAAACCCCATGGATGCCTTTTAATGCAAAGTCTCTGTTTTATTGTTGAACAATAAACAGTGTTTTTTTAAACGCATGTAAGACCTTCAATGTTTTCTGTGTTCTCCTATGACCTCCTGGATGAATTATGGGTGCAGAGTAAGGGCTCTTAGGGCTAATAACTAATAAAACCATTTATAAGAATTGGAAGGAAAAGTAGGGATATTAGGTTTTTAAGCCCTACAGCCTCCATTGATTCATTTAATTGCTTTTAATTGAGATTAAACTGAATTATTCAGTAATTTTATTTAATTTTCCTTCCCCTTTGTTTGCATAATCTTTTAATTCTCCTTGATAAAAAGTAATTTAAACTCTGCAATTTCATATTTCACGTTATTTATTTTTTTCTTTTGTCTGAAACATTTTGTGTCAGTAAATGTTAAGCAGTTAAAAAACAAAACAAAAAAAACGGATGAGGGTATACATATTATCACGAGAACCCAATTTTGACACGTTTAACTTGTTAAAATTAAACAAAGAATAGGGAAAAACTAACATATATTGACACCATGATGGAAACAATATAAATCAAAATAAAGTTAAATCTATCCAATTTATGCTAGCTGTAGACTTCACAGAAACACACCGACTTCCTTGGTCAAAGCGGCAGCACCTCGTCTGTCTTCTGAAAATTATTTTCTCATTAAAAGTAAAAGAAGAAAAGATTTTCCGAGTTATTCGGTTTCTTTTCGTCTCCCTTAGACCACATTTATCCTCACTAGAGCTCCATCCTGGCTTCTGCAGCCGAGCTGCTCCACAGACAGCTGGAAGGACCCAAACATTAGGAGCCGGGAAATTTGCCTTATCAAAAAAAACCCTCACATCGCAGAGGCATCTTCTTCTTTTCTATTATGGCGGATCGCAAGCAAGTTTAAGCTGCATAGCGCCACCTACTGTACATGAGTGTACAGTACATTACTTTACATCAAATTCTATTTTTTTATTTTCCTTCTCTCATGAATGATTCAATCTAATACGGATTTTTGTACCTTATACAATCCTCTTCTATGGAAAAGGATTAGGGCCACTGAAAAAATAAAAAAGGTTAACTGATTTTTACATTTTTATTTCAGTATAATATGCCAAAAGTCAGAATTCTGACTGAATTCTGACAGCTAGCAAACATGTTAGCATCAATATGTAGCCATGTCTTTTTTTAAGACTAAACCAGCTCTCTTGTTTTTTTCACCTTCAACTCTTCCATTAATGAAATGACATCACTAGGGACCCCTCGAGCACGTAAAAAGTCACCTAAATCCTTTATTTTCCACCAATGTGTTACTGGCCCTCCCAAACAACTCACATCTTTGTTCTTTAAGGAGACTGCTCCCAGATCTCCTCCTTCATGGTGCCCATCTACATTAAAGGAATAGTACACCCAAAACATGATTAGCCTTCATTTTCTACTCACCCCCATGCTGAACAACACTCTGGAGTACTTTTTTGATATCTCAAATGCATCTGGAGATCTGGGAGGCTTCTTGCTGTCTGCTGACATTCAAATAATGGAGGTCTACGGTGCCCACTCAGCACATTTGGAATACATTGGACGAGCAGTATGGAGGAATATTGACACGTTTTTTGTGGACTTTTATGGACCTTTCTGTCTCGGGCACCATAGACCTCCATTATTTGAATGTCAGCAGACAGCAAGAAGCTTCCCAGATCTCCAGATGCATTTGAGATATCAAAAAAAAGTACTCCAGAGTGTTGTTCAGCATGGGGGTGAGTAGAAAATGAAGGCTAATCATGTTTTGGGTGTACTATTCCTTTAAGATCCAAAATTCAGAGATTAAAGTCAGAATTCTGAGGAAAAAAAGTCAGAATAATGTTTTAAAAAATCTGAATTATGAGAAAAAAGTCAAATTTCTGAGAAAAAAAGTCAGAATTCTGAAATTAAAGTCAGAATTCTGAGAAAACAGTCAGAATTTTGAGAAAAAATAAAATCAGAATTATGAGGAAAAAAAGTCAGAATTCTGAGATTGAAGTCAGAATTCTAAGGAAACAAAAAAAGAAGTCTGTGAAAAAAAGTCAGAAGTCTGACTCAAACTTAAACTGAAATAATATTTAAAAAAATAGTTAACTTGTTTTATTTTTTTTCAGTGGCCCAAATCCTCTTCCCTGCTCTTCGTTTCTTCTTTCCACCTCTTTTAACATTCGGAGCTGGGAAATTTGCCTCATCAAAAATCCTGTCAGATCATGGAGTCATTTTAGAAAATAAATTTAAATACTATGAATCAGTAGGTTAAATGTATTGGTTGTATTTAATTGTGTGGGGTGAACGTGTTTAATTTTTGTGTAGATTTTCAGGCATATGTGAAGGCAGCTATGAAGTGCAGGCAGCACATGTTCATATTTTTTTGTTTCCGGTTCTCTCTCGTTTGGGGGGAGTGACTGAAGTCTGCTGCTCGTCCGGGCTCTGCATCCTGTGAAGAAAGTACGAGTAAGATTATATTTGCATATCCTTTACCCAAAACGCGCCAAAGTGAGAAGATTTCTTTGATATATTTGCATTTGTTTAGCTCGATGAGAAGCTTGTTTTGCTCGCTGATCGACATGTTGTCATTCATTAGCACAGGCCGCCTTTGTTAGATCCTCAGCACATGTTGGTACTCGCAGAAACCTGCCTAGCGGATCACTTTTCGTTTTGTTTATTACAGCCTTACCTTTAATAGAGGATATTTGATGTTGGTTTGCAGCAGAGTGAAAATACAGATTACTATGACTGTTTATGGTATCCGTGTTTTTTCAATCTGCAGAATAGTGCAGCAGGTTCATTAGAGAAATGAGCATGCGCACACAGTTCATAACTATTAGAAACATCTACTGTAGGAACATCCCATCATCATGGTGCTGTTTCCTAATTGGTTTCTGAATTTATTGCCACATTTTAGTAAAACAGCAAATTTGTATTTTTCTTTGTATTTAATGAAATTTAATATAGTTGTAATTTGAGGTCAGATTTAAGGAATTAAAAGTGCAGATTCCATTATCAGTTTCCCATTTACCAACATTGCTCAACATGTAAATCTTTTAGTTAAATGCACATCCAAGTCTTTTTGATGCTTTTGTGTGCTGCATTCACTGATTGGAAAATTAATTGATTGACTTTATTGATCTCACAGTGGAGAAATTTACTTGTTGCATCAAAGAAGGAGAAGGTGACAAAGGAAGAAAAAGGAGCAGGGGCTTCTGGATAGTGGTGGTTCTAAAGAACAAAATAAAAAATAAGAAACAGGAAAATAATGCATTGTTTAGTTTATTGAGAAAGCTGCAAAGCCAAGATTGCAAATATCTGATCTAACAGACAAATGTGATCCTATCCTAGTAGTTAATTGGATTAATGGATTATTGAAATTACCATCAAGTAATTTAGTAAATTTTAACTTAAGTATAGAGAGCTTAAAATGTCTTTAGCAAACCTCTTAGAGCAGTGATTGTACCAACATTGTAAAATATATATATAAAAGTTAGCATTTCAGATGAAAAAAATGTTTTTGTCTCAGTATTTTCTATCCAGAACTCCTCAAGTGGATGAATTTTAGTTTCAGCTGGTTTAATGTAATAAAAAAATCTTCTTTAAGGAACCTTTGGCTATCTGATTGTTAATCGAAAAAAAATAATCGACAGATTATTCGATTTGCAAAATAATCATTTGTTGCAGCCCTACTGTCATTTCTAAATGTTACATTACACTCTGCAAAAAATTAAAATCTAAATTAATTTGAAAATCAATTATTTTTCTTTAATTGAGCAGGTGAGACACTTTGCCAATGGAATAAGACAATTTACAATTAAAAATAGAAAAAATAACAGTTCTCTTATTCAAAGTACATAATTTCTAATTATATTATTTAAGATTAAAAATACTACTTACTCAAATTAAGGGTAAATAACTTCATTTTAACAAATGTTTTTACTCATTTTTGATTTTTTTTTTTAAACTGATATGGTATTACACTGTAAAAAAACAATCTAAAAGGATGGCCGATTTTGGTCCTTAATATAAGATAATGAAATAAGTTTATTGTTTTAAACATAAATCAACTTATTCCATCTGCAAATGTCTTGCCTTCATGCACAAATCAAGGTAACTTAGTTATTTAAAAAAATATTAAAAATGGACCCTTGTCTAAAACCCCCATTTGGAAGTTGGACAAATCTGAAGATTGAAATGTAGTAATTGCCACCTAATGCAGTGATTTCACTCTGATGGAAACAGAGCATCATTACTTTAGTGGTGAAACATATTCTTGCTTTTTTTAAAGCTACAGTGTGTAATAATTACAGGCATATAAATTCAGAAATTTAATATATTATACATAACTATGTTATTTATCATCACCTATGAGCTCAGCCTTTTAACCATAACATTTGCGTTGCCTTAGAATTCGTTATTTATAATTACATAGGAGCGGGTCTCGCAGCCATGGAGGCTGACATCTTTGCGCTACGGCAGCGCAGAGGCAACAAACTAGCGATTGCGAGATCTCCCATGACGCTCGAAAATAACTACGGCAAGTTGAGAGAGATGAACTGAGACGGTACTGAACAGTAGATGGCAGTATTATGCCTGAGAAGCGTTTAGTCTACCTGAAACCAAAGAAGAAGAAGAAGCAGGTATACTGCGCCTCGGTAACAAGAAAGGTAAACAAGGCGGCAGGCGTGAGTGACTTTGCAAACTGTTTGGCACTGTGTGGCCAAACATCAGACGAATGGAGGATCATGTCTACTCTGTATCACAACGAAAAGCGGCGGACACCGAACCCCCGTCATCTAAGAAGCGGAAACACGACGAGAATAAACGCAAGAGTGACAAGAAATGACAAAAAACACGGATCAACATTGGCACGGCATTTACACAATGGAAGTCACTGATGGAGGAAAAAGGTTTTCAAAGTGACGCTCAAGTTGCCAGTTTTCTCTTGGACAGGTAATTAATCCTACACACACAATTGTCTAATATCACTGCAGTTTTTGGAGTACAGGATGCTCAGACCTGTCTAAAACAATAACATGCTGCGTGATGATGCTGTTACTCTCCAGTATACTTATTCAGCAACGTCCCTGACGTTTCACAGGTAATGATTCAGTAATTTTCTGTAAAATGATTTTCTGGATATATACCTCGGTTACTTCTCTCCGGCTCCTTTGGAGATCTTCAAGCCTTTCCTCCTCTGCTCTCACCCCGCTGGCTCCCCTCTCTCGCCTGGCCCCAGCTGCACGCTCACCCCGGCCTCTCTGCCCTCTTCCTTTCCCTCTTCCTTGCCTTGTAACCCCCGTGCCACAAACAAGACTTGGACTCTGTAAACGGGGAATATATATTCTTCCAGCGAACACAATCTCGCTGTTAAACTAATGACTACAATTACTTCGTCTGTTTATATCACCATGCAAAGCAGCTCACCAAAACGTCACAACGACGTAGAAAAAATAACGGGTATATTTATTATCTTAAGTCTACATGAAATCTATACCCTACACAGACTAATGAAATACTATCTGTAAAATTATCTATGTAAACAAACCTCATCACTTGAGAAGGTAGGTGATGCGGACGTCGTGGAAGACATTTTGTCCCGTAACGCTCGCCGTACTGTTGGGGGGGAGAAGCGGTGGGGGGGAGACGTTCATGTTGCTGCAGTCTGACCGCTAGATGTCGCTGAAAATTACACACTGTAGCTTTAAAGCTGCTTTTAAATGCCTCTAATATTGTCTTTTTTTTTTCCCAGCGGCGAGGGTGCTGCTGTGTGTGCGTGCTGTGTGTGTGCGAGGCGTGCTTGCTTACAGAGCCAGCTCCAATATGAAGAGAGGAAAGAACACAGAGGAGGCGGCTGCAGAGGGGGAGAATGATACCGGATCAGGTATGAAAACACTAGAATATTTTTTTCCTGTAAAGATTTCTTTAAAACAGCAAAAAAAAAAAAAGTGAACCAACATCTTTTTCATTTGGTGATCTCCCTTCAGCTTCTACAAAGAAGGCCAAGAAAACAAAGGAACCCGAGGCTCCAATTTTGTACGATGACCCCCCTGATAAAACGACAAGCAAAGACGGACGCAGCGCCAACATGAAGATCACCTCCTGGAACGTGGATGGACTCAGGGCGTGGGTGAAAAAGAATGGCCTGAATGTGAGTCTCCGGTAAAAATCAGCCGCTCGATTGGCGCCTCGGTTCCAAACTAAAAAGCTGTTTGTGTTTCCCAGTGGGTGCGTGAGGAGAACCCAGACGTCCTGTGCCTCCAGGAAACCAAGTGCTCAGAGAAAGCCCTTCCTGCTGAGATCACGTCTATGCCAGAGTACCCCCACAAGTACTGGGCTGTGTCCGATGACAAGGAGGGATACAGTGGGGTAGCCATGCTGTGCAAGACTGAACCTCTGAAAGTGACCTATGGAATTGGTGAGAGATGAAATAATGCACAATTTAAAATTCTGGTTTTTACTGGCAATTCAGATTTCTAAAGGTTTCCATTAGACTAAAAAAAAGTCTCTAATTCTCCAGGCAAAGAGGAGCATGGCAGGGAGGGGCGTGTCATTACTGCTGAGTTCCCAAACTTCTATTTGGTGACGGCCTACGTCCCCAACGCCAGCAGAGGCCTCGTCCGCTTAGATTACCGCAAAACCTGGGATGTCGACTTCAGAGCTTACCTCAGCGAGCTAGACATCCAGAAGCCCCTGGTTCTGTGCGGAGATCTCAACGTGGCACACCAGGAGATCGACCTGAAGAACCCGAAGGGCAACAAGAAGAACGCGGGATTCACCCCGGAGGAGCGCGAAGGCTTCAGCCAGCTGCTGGAGGCGGGCTTCGTGGACAGCTTCCGTGAGCTGTACCCCGAGCAGGCCAACGCCTACACCTTCTGGACCTACATGATGAACGCACGATCTAAGAATGTCGGCTGGAGGCTGGACTATTTCCTGCTGTCATCTTCTCTGCTCCCCGGCTTGTGCGACAGCAAGATTCGCAACAAGGTGATGGGCAGCGACCACTGCCCAATCACGCTCCTCGTAGCTGTGTGAATCAGCTGTTACTCTGTCCTCTTAGCCCCGCCCATATCAGCCAGAGTGAGGAAGTCGCTCATTAGTAGAGTTACTTATAGCTTAGTTGATTTCTTTGAAGGTTTCCACAATATAACTACACTGATTTGATTACATTTGCAATATAAATCCAGGTTCTGCACACATGCAACACTAAAACACTCAATTAAGCTAATGTTCATGTTTCTGTAAAAGAAAACTCAACGGTTAAAGCCCATTCTTGTACCCCGTTTTATTTTTTTATGTGAAACTTGCTTACACTCAAATAAAAACTCTTATTTCCAGATTTTTTACTTTAAGTTTTACATTACTGAGCTATTTTTTGTAATAAAGAACTTGTAATAAATAACTGATTAGCATTACTTGCTAGCGTAAGCTAGTAGTAATGAGGAGCATTAGTAGCAATATAAGAAAGAGCTTTTTGTTGGATAGAAAGCAAAATAAGCCATCTTTGGGAAGAATCTCAACTGGGCAGCATTTTACAAATTTTAATTTAGAAATTTAAAGAGTTTAGTAAATTTAAATGCAGTTTTAGATATTAAAGAGTGAGATCTTCAGCAACAAACATTACGACATCATCGGCATGGAGTGTAACATAGATCTTTCATTGCAAAACGACCCAAGTTCTACCTGAAACCAGAGGGAATGAACTGAACATTATCTCAAACATTTCTTAAATATCCCTCTGTAAATACAGAGGTTTGTTTGGAAAACAAAGCAAAAAAATTTCCGTTCTATAAATCAAAAATGGCCGCCATGTCGAAAACAAGAAGAGATCTGCAGCAAGAACCTGTTCATGTTCTGAGTCTGATTAAATTTGGTACACACTGCTTTGACATTTAATTAGTAAACAGGTTTGTTTTGTTTTGATAAAATGATAAGAAAAATGGGACCACAGGTTGTCTTTCTAGAAAAGTATTTAAATTTAGAGCCTCCTGTTATTGGTTAGGTCTTATCAGATGAAGTTTAAACTTGTATTTCTTTGAAAATTTACCACTAATATCCTTTAAATTATATTAATTCTGCCTGAAGTATTGTTGCCTAAATAACTTAAATTTTTACTGCGGATGTATATAGCTTTGCATCATTATCTGTATTTAACTTTTAAACTGCTACCAACGTAGGTACTCAGACCAGAAGTTGGAGTGTAAATGGTAAAGAGTTTCCTCTGCTTTGGGGTACCAAGACCTGGCACTGGTTTGTATCTTTAAATATCTCAGTAAGGTGTAACACATTTGAATATATTTACCATCAATACCAGTAAGTTGTTTTGTATGTTTATAATTTGCAGTCTTAATCACCAATGTTCATGACAGATGTGTCCGCAGATGTGTTTTAAGGTGATAGGACTGCCTGAATCCCTTCCCACATTCTATACACAGATAGGGCTTTTCCCCTGTATGTGTCCGCTGGTGTCTCTTCAGCCGGTTGGCACTCAGGAAGCTCTTGTCGCACTCGGAGCAGGAATATGGCCGTGCCCCCGTGTGGTAGCGGAGATGGATGGTCAGGTAACAGGACTGGGTGAACTTCTTCCCACAGTGAGGACACTGGAATGGCTTGTGTCCCGTGTGGAAACGCTCGTGCTTTAAGAGCTCCGCATGCGAGAAGAAACCCTTGCCGCAGTCGGAGCAAAGGTACGGTCTCTCGCCCGAGTGCGTCAGCTCGTGTCGGATCAAGGTGGCCTTGTACACAAAGCTTTTGTCGCACTGTGAGCAGCGGAAGACGTTTTCCCGCGTGTGGCATCGCTCGTGTTTCTTCATGTTGCGCTCCCTCTTGAAGCTCTTGCCACAGAAGGAGCACATGAAGGGCATTTCCTCGGAGTGGATCTTCATGTGGCTCAGTAAGCCGCCCTTATAGAGGAAGCCCTTACTGCACTGAGCGCACGTGTGCGGCCGTTCTCTTTGATGTGTCCGTTGGTGAGCAGTGAGAGCGGCCCGGTGAGGAAAGCTCTTCCCACAGTTGCACCTGTGATGTTTTTCCTCCCTGTGGGTAAGGAAGTGCCGGTTCAGGTGTCGTTCAGACTCCTCCACCTCCCCAAGATCCATTCCATGGTTCTTAAGATGCTTCACGAATGCCGTCTTCCCGCTGAAGGTCTGACTACACTCTGAGCAGCGGTAGTCCCCATCCTCTAAGTGGACACTCTGGTGTCTGCTTTGCTCTGCTGCCGACTTGAAAAGCTCCCCGCAGATCAGACACGACTTACTTTCAGACGAATGCGTCTGCTTGTGCCTCTCCAGCGACTGTTTAAAGGAGAACTGCCGCCCACACTGAGGGCATGAAAACGGCTGCTCTCCTGTGTGAACGCGCTGGTGGGCTTTGAGTAAGGAGAGGAACCTGAAGACCTTCCCACATTCTGCACAGCTCAAGTGTTCCTGTGGGTCTGCGGCTTCAGTGGTGTGAACCTTGTCAACATGCTGCAGGACCTGCTCTTCCTCTGAGTGCTGGAAGGGGCACTGAGCGCAGGAGAAAGTGACGACTGGGGCGTCTGCTGGACAACCTGCTGGTTTAAAAAACATCCAGTTTAAATATGAAGCTAATTCTAAATGTAAACATAGATCTTAGCATTTAAAATTATTGTCTTAGAATATGAGATTTTCTGAACTATATAAGCTTTTTAATAAACATGCGAAAACAAAACCTAATTTCTATTTTTTGTATTTATATACATTTAAATAGGTTTACTAAATCTCTAAGACTGAATAGAAATAACGTTGGAAGTTAATTAGGCACCAGCTGCTAACTTTAGCATTGTTGGCGGCTAACAGTAACTTGTTGGAAGTCACTCTTCGTATTCCCAATTTTTCATCTTTTCCATACTTAATTGTTGTTGTTTCTTTATATATTTTAATTGATTATTATCGTTGCTTCAATAAAATCAGCAGCGGTATTTTAAACAGACAAGGACTGATTTAGTTTTTCTTGTTAGTTTATGGGCTAAACCAGGAAACTGCAACCTGTGGCTCTTTGGACCTTCTTAACTTTGGCTAAAAATAATTAAAACATTAAGTAGTAGTAATAGTAAGTAACTCCTTTTTAAAAGATATATTAATGCAGTTTTTATGCAAATTATTTCTTTTTTTGTTGATTAACTGCTTTGACTTTGTGCAAGAGAATAATCCTAAAAGTACCGATTTTTGTAAACATTAAAATCCCATGGGAAAAAAATGTATCTTTCCTTTCTTAATTACAAAAAAATTATTGTTTTTCTGTCTTAAAAATAAATAGAATGTTTTTTTTTTTTTTAATGAAAAATTTTCTGGAGGTCTTCTGCAGCTCTAAATGTTTTATTTAGCTGGACTGACGGCATAATAACTCTTTGGATCGTAAAGGTTTCAGTCAACCATTAAGGACGAGTGTCAATAAAAGATAAAAGTTAATTTCTAAAGCATAAATCCCAGTAGAGTAAAACAATAACTGCATAAAAAAAAAAACCAAATACTCTGTATACATTGTTTAAACCTTTTGCTGATGACAAACAAAAACTGCATATTTTAAGTACAAATTACATGAAGAGGTTGTTTTTTAAAAGATTAGTCTCAAAAACAGAGATATATATATTGAGATATAGCAGGAAAAACATGAAACCAATCTTAATTCTTTAAAGTGTTAGTAGGTCCTTGAAGTGACGTCTTACTAAGCAACATGGCAACTCAAAGCTACTTCCACCTCATCCAGGCTAATAAGAAAAATTGCCACTGAAATTTGTTTTACAGAAACATTTCATATTTGTTCTGTTTCAGTTTCATCAGATCTTGTCTTAAACCTCTACTGATTATCTGTTAGTGATAAAAAAAAAAAATCCTTACTTCCATCCCCTTGCTTTGTGACCAATGGCGACCCGTAGGAGTGCTCCGAACTGTAACAAAGAAAACAATGATCACTAGTGATCACTGACCGTTTCCTAAAAACGTGACAGAAAATTGAAGGGTGCCACAGACTGAGGAGAGTCTTGTTACCTAATGACAGGTGAAGGCCTCGGTGCTGAGGGCTTCTCCATGCTCATCTCCTTCCTTTCATTAGTGATCAGGTGCTTCTGTAAGTTCATCTCCTGGACCTTCATGGTGGGTCTACGCTTGCGAACGCTTGTGCGGACCTTCGATGGGTTGATGCAGTTTTCTTCTTCAGAGGAGGAGGGGTCACCACTCTCCTCCAATCTCACAGCGTCCGGATCTGTCGCACTTTTAGTGTCTTGTCTCTCCTCTTGGAGTTTGCCATCAACAGAGGGAGTCTCTAACTGCTTCCTGAGGGCTAGCTTGGAGCTAAATTTCAAGTTGCAGTAGTCGTCATGTTCTGTGTGTGTCTGCCTGTGCTTCACGCCGCCTGTTAGGGACGGTAAAGTCTCTCCCCGGACGGGACGGATAGAAGCACTGCCCTTTCTGTGCGTCCGTCTGTGCCGGTCCAAGGACTGCCTAAAGGAGAAGCAGCGGCCGCAGTCATCGCAGCGGTGGGGGCGTTCCCCCGTGTGGATGACGCTGTGAGCCAGCAGCGAAGAGGCAAATTTAAATTTCTTCTCACAGTGGGGGCAGTCGTGTGGTCCTGTAGCAGCTTTACGTTGAGAGGAGGACGGAAGTTCTGCTGCATCTCTTTCAGACGCCTCTTCGCTCGATTTCTCCTCCAAAAGCACAACCGCGCAAAGTCCGACCGAGTCTTCATTTTCTTCAAAGCAGTTTTCTTCCATCAGCACCTCGACGTTGGAGCTCGTGTCTATTTCAACCACCGAGTAATCAGAAACTGTTACCACCTCTGGGTCCACAATGAGGTCACCTCGCCCAGCAGTTTCTGCCGATCTCCGTGCAGGAAGGGCAGAAAGAGAGGAACAGATGCCGTCACCTATACCAGCAGGTGGAACTACACAGAAAAGAAAAAAAAAACTTACATTTGGCTGCTAGATTTTACAAAAATGTGCTTTAAAGAAGAGACCTACCATGCTGGTCTAAATGTCCAATGTTCTTCTGGTGTTGTAGCAGGTTTTTTAGGTCTTTGGGCTCAGAAACAAACTGCAAACATTCTTCCAACAGAGAACAATCAGCTCCGAGCCAGGAAACAGTCTGAGGAAAATAGATGAGAAAAATTAGACATTTTTTCTATATAAAACAAAACACCCCCCCCAAAAAAAAAAAAAAAAAAAACTGTGTGTAGACAGCTGCATGAATTATTTAAATTGTAAAGGTTCTCTATTGTTAAATAGTCTAATAGTTTGTATATCATGTGGAAAATAAAACACCCCCAGGAAATTTGCTGACAATTAATTTGGACTTTGAAAAGCAAAGTTTAATATTATGTCATTTCAAAACTATTTGTAGCATAAGCGTCTATAATGATACACATTATGATGTATCTTTCACCTGCTCAAGGTCAGGAACCGGCAACAGCTGAGAAAGTCGGCAGAGAAACTCTGCAAACAGTGTCTGCAAGTCACTGTCGTACTGAGGACCGTAGTTCTCAGGGAAGATCCCCTTTAAAAAAAAACAAACCTTAAAATGCTTTTCCTGAGTTCAGGCTTTTTTTTTTCAATCATTTGCTTTAGTAACTAAATCAATCTTCAATTGATGCATCGTCTTTCTTGCACACATATACATCGTCTGCAAGGAAACGCTAATAATAAAGGGTCAAGGGGTTTGTTACATTACAGTAACAAAAAAGTGATTTTAGAATAGATTCTCACCATGAAAAAGTCCTTTCTTTCTTCAGGATCCTCAAGAAGAACCTGAATCAACTCGACAAAGTTGGTTTTTACCAAGTCATCTGGTTCGCTTACCTGCATTGTGAGGAATAGAAGTTTTTAACTACAGCAATCCTGAATTACAGAGAAATAGAAACATTAATATTTACCTCAGTGGGATGATTTGATGTCATCTTGTCCAAGTAAGACAGGATCATCTCATTTGGCTGCTCATTTCGACACAACTCAATTATAAACTGTTGTGGAGAAAATAATAAATCCTTTCTTTTATAACAACAAAGCTCACCTACATTGTAGCATCAAAGGTTTAAGCTACCTACTCACCCGAACTCTTAATCCTAAAGTCAGATGAGTCCTATGTCTGCACATCAGCAGCTCAGGGACCATGTCCACTACAAGCGACACAAAGTCTGACACCTTCCAGTAGTTCATAACTTCCTGTTTCCTCAACACTTGCCACATGGAGGCCGCCATGAGCTGCAGAGGAGGCACCAGGAGGCGTAGCGACGCCAGAGGCAACGAATCATCTAAAAAAGAAAAAGGATTATAGTTTTAACAAGAAGCAAAACAAGATAAATATTTCAGGTAATGTCAGAGAAAGATTACGGTTAAAAAGAGAGGTAGAACGATCCACCTTCAATCAATATTATTGGCCCATATCTGTGTTTTTATTTTTTCGGCCCTTCCTTCACTTGTTTTGGTAATAAAGGTTTCTCTTTAGAATAAACGGTGAATTGTGTAACATTAGTCATTTTATTCTGTAAATGAAGGAAGAAAAAAAAAAAAAATCAGCAACGGATATCTGGGATCGGTTAGAGTGATATCAAAATATATTATGCCAGCGGAAAACCCCCCCCCCGCATCAGTCGATCTCTGGTTATTATGACTTTATTTTCGTAATGTTGCAACTTTATTCTTGTAATTTTATGACTTTATTCTCGTGATTTTATGACATTATTCTCTTAATGTTGTGGCTATATTCTCGTTATTCTCGTAATTTTATGATTTTCGTAATGTTGCAACTTTATTCTTGTATTCTTTGTATTCTTTATTCTTGTATTTTTATGACTTTATTCTTGTAATGTGACTTTATTCTCATAAATTTACGACTTTATTCTCTTAATTTTATGACTTTATTCTCTTAATGTTGCAACTTTGTTCTCATAATTTTATGACTTTATTCTTTTAATGTTGTGACTTTATTTTCATAATTTTATTACTTTATTGTCATAATTTTATGACATTATTCTCATAATATTATGACTTTATTCTTGAAATAAAAAATATTTAAAAATCTCTAGCTTGTGTCCAATACTCCGTCGTACCTCAACACATTTCTTCATAATGGTCTTCAATTATGAGCCTAAAATGTATTTGCATTCGTTTTTTTCATTATGGTATTGTCACATTTATTATGCATGTATTATTTATTCAAGTACATATTTATTTCACATTGTCTGATTTATTTTTTTAAATGTTATTTTATTTTAAGCACTCTAGAATTCCATATTATGGAAATATGGGTACACCTTGCAATATAAGCATTATCTGTGTTATGAAGCTTCTGCAATATCAAGAATATAATAATGTATTTGCTGTCAGTAGAAGTAACTGATAAACACAAAGGCCCAGAAAACAGATAATGATCTACTGACAAATTATTAACAATCTTTAGAAATGTTTCATTCCAACAGATAAATAATGCACTATAACTATGGTTAACTACTACAAAAACATATCAAGAATGTAGACAATCCTTCATGTTTGGACAGGGATGTTAAAAACGTTTACTTGTAGCAAACAGTTTTGAACGTCCCCCATTGGTGCGTGTTCAAGAGCAGCAGTGTTAATAAACGTGGCTTGCAGCAACCACGCCGTGTTTATAAGCAACTCTTTGCACAATTAAAGAAACAAAACTCTGCATTTATTAATTGGCCCCATAATAACGTTTCAATCACGTTATGACCCCAACAAAGCACCATATCAAAATGATAACAACAAGCTAATGAAATAAGCTAACGTTTACCCTTTCTGTAACTGACTGAAAGTTTTCCATCAAATATGTTTCATTCACATTCGTCTCGTCCTCTAAAGAACTAACCTTTTGCGGCGTCCGTGAAAACGTCCGAGTCCATTTATTTTCTTCGGGGGTTGAAAACTTTCAGTAGCGTTGATAACCCTTCCAGCTAGCTGGCTAACTGATACTTATAATGTTTTTCACAGCTGCAAGTAAAACAGCTCTTAATGTGACGTCCTGCTGTTAAAGACCACAACATAGAGTCACACGAAAACAATTAATAAAAATGTATACAAAAAAACAGACATATTATCATCTTAGTAATTTGTTTATCTTCTCGTTGTTTAATTGTGGTTAGCAAATAACGTCAAAGTGCATTACCGCCACCTACTGGAAGGAGGCAAGAACCGAGAATTCTCTGGTTGTTGGTTCGCTCTGATATTTTTGCTGCCACCTGCTGGACATTTATTGAACAAAAAAAACCTCAACTCAATTAAATATTTTTCTTACAATGATGAAATGAAAGAGTTTGGATTTTATTAATTTTCTTTCATAGCATCATGTCCTTTAAAATAATCAACATTTATACCAGTAAAGTTTAAAGTCCAGAAGATCAATTATGAGATCTAACTTGTATTTATCTGATTTTTGCAATTTATCCTTAACAATATTAGAGTTTACATTTTTATAAAGTTAGAAAATACCATAACTATTGTTATGAATGCCATAAGAAAAAACAACATGTGCAATTATTCATTTTTAGAATTAATAATATTACGCAAAAAAACAGTGATATTTCCAGCTTTTAAATGTAAAAGTATGAACTATCGAATTTAAAATAATATTATTAGAATCAAAGCAAATTGCAAAGTTCCAGTCATGACTTTGAAATAGAAAATTATACTGTACATGTCCAAGTCCTGATTTTAAAATAGAAACTTATAATTAGCCTAGATAAGTGAAAGTCAGCATTTTAAATGTGAAAGCGATACCAAATTTTAAAACCACGTACATTTTAAAACCAAGCTGTAAGGTTGAAAGTTTTAGTGTTAAGTAAAGTGGCAAAAATCAATTAATAAAGCAAACACGGCCCATCACTAAACAATATATCACATATTTTATTATGTACATTAAAAATCCCTATTTAAAGAATAAGTCATAAAATGAATCATAAATGCATCCTTATGAAGTTAAAAACTGCAATTTCATCATGTTATGTTTATTTAATAATTGCATAAGTTTTACTTTGACTGTGTGACTGTTTTGATCATAACTTATCATCAATCAAAATGTTAAAGCTGGTAGCCATCTACACTTGTGTAAATGTTACATAAGTGTAGATGGCTAATAATTATAACATTGATAAAATAAACTATTAGTTTCAAAATTGAATAATTGATCAGTTTAGAACCCTGAACTGCACTAATCACTATCATTCTCCTCCACCGCTTTCATCTTTCAGGGTATTGGAACAGCTTTTTTCCCTAAAGAATTGCCTTATATCAATCTAAGATTAAAATGAAAGATATACCACAGCAACGACTCATTTAGAGTGGGAGTAATAAAGACTATTTTCTCAAACATGTTATTTTATTATGTCAATTTAAAACTGTAGTATTTTAGGCTCAGAATTTCGACATTTCTAACATATTTCAAACATTTAGTTTTTATGTCGTAACTTTGTTTGTGGTGAGTTAAATTACACAGTCTGGTTTTAGTATTACATCTATTGTGACTAATATGTCTAACTATGGAGACAGATTATTGTTTAGTGAAACACTAAGACTCTCTAAGAGTCACTGGATCTCAGTTTTCCCAGAAAAGAAAACCCAGGGAGCTGCAAAATTTCTTTCTAACATCTAAAATGACGATAACAGTGTATATATTGTTTTTCTTTTCTTCACTTCTATGATTTGTATATAAACAATTGTGCTATATTGCTTATGAAATCATTGAAGTGCAGAGAAAATTATTGTTTTGTTTATTGGCAAAGATGATAAAACAACGTTGATATGCAGCACGAAAAAGAATAATAATTTTGCAAGCTGAAAGTAATATTAAAGTTACAACAAATTCCCACATGTCAGTAGCCCACTTAGGTCTGTCCAGCCCAGTCTTTGTACAGACCGTACCCACTGCCACCAGCAGAGGTAAGAGCTGATGGACAATGTTGAAGTTAGTTGATTTGAGGGGGGCTTCGAAGGGGCTTCTGCTTCAGCCACCCCAAAATAGAAGAACAGAATTCACACTAAGTTAAAAAAAGTCAATGAATCTGATCATTTTAAACAAAAAAGTTCATAAAAATAATAAAAAAAAGTCGACTAAACAGGTTTGTTTTACAGTGAAATTCAGACCCATATTTAGTTTATGATAATATACCTTAATCTTGAGTATAAAACTCTTTAATTACAGTTAAAGTCCAAAACATGTCTTATTTTAAATGATAGTTTTCTGCTTTTCTAGCAGGGAGCTGATTTGCTGGTAGTAAGACCTAATGAGGCCCCATGTCTGCTCTCAGCCCGGATTATCTCTGCCTGCTTGGGTCAGATTATTATCACCAGCTCTACTTAATGGAGTCCCCTCAGAGCAGCTCTGCTCTGGATCGACTTATTTTTAACAACACTGTGCTGAGAAGGCTTCCAGTAGATGTCTCAGACCAGCCGGGCTCCAGGACCGTCCCAGGAGCATGTTACTCCCAGATCGCCTCCCTTCAGCCCCTCCTCCGGCCCAGATTGGTGGCTCTGTCTCAGCCGGCTTTGTCTCTGCTGGGCCTGAATGTGCAAGACGTCCTGGATGACCCTCTGGCCCCGGAGTATTTGAGCGGCTCCAGGCTGCTGCTGGGCTCCCAGGCAGCTGCACACTGCTACTGCGGGCACCAGTTTGGGTTCTTCGCGGGTCAGCTGGGCGATGGGGCGGTCATGTACCTAGGGGAGGTGGAGTCGGATACCTGCGGACGTTGGGAGATACAAGTGAAAGGTGCAGGGGTCACACCTTACTCCAGGTATTTTCTTCTGTTGTTTCATAAAAGGGAGAGAAATAAAAAAATGGGGTTAAAGGTCACCCTAGAGAAATGTCTAAGTCTTACATAAATATGAGCTGATTAAGAGCTTATGGTACACCCAGGTGCTGGCTTCACCTCCGGTTACTATTAATTTATTTTCCATAAAAATCTTTTCCTGATTAGGCGTCATACAAGTTAAACAACTTACACAAATGTTTAAGTTTAGGACTTAATAATTTAAAATTTGCCAAACTTTGAATTCTAGCTCATTGTAACTAGAAATAATTAATTTCCCAACTTATGCACAAGTAGTGGTGATTTGGAAAAGGCAGTGAAAACTTACATTTCTTACTTAAAAATCATATTTTTATAGCTAATTTCCTGTAGCGGGGGAGTTTGTCATCTAGATTTTTTCCTAACTTTTTTTGTTTTGTTTGTTTTTTGTTTAAGGGAAAATAATTGTCAAAGTTTCAAACGTCCAAGAAGTAATTGTTCTGTTCTCTCACCACTAGGCCACAGCATGGCGGCTCCAGTCCCTGATCACTGCTGCCTTAACTATAGGTCTGCTTCAGACTTAAAAATCATTTAATAAAAGGCTTTATTGTCATTGTAAAGAACATACAATGTTATTTCATTAACACCATTTATTTAGCCTTAATTATATTGATAAAATAAAAAATCAATAAGATAAAGTGAACTGAACGTTCACCTCTTTAAGCAACCAAAAAAGTTAAAGGTATAAATACTCACCAGATAAAGTTAAAGATTACAAATATCTTTGTTTACTAATCTGACTTAGATTATTATCTCTATATTTGCCTCTTAGTTTTCCAGGTTTACACAACTGAAAATATTTTTTAAACTCAAGAAAGGGAAGCCACCTTTTTTTTTTTACTGTGTATAGGGTTGCCATCTAGTAGTATCCTTTATTTTATGCCACTACTTTAAGTAAAGAAGCATCCAAGTTTGTCCAAACTAAGCTTAAAATCCTTGATTAGCAATGGACAGTTTATTGTAAAACATTGCTGCATATCAGCAATATTGAGCTGGATTGTTGCAAGATCTGAATTTTCAGTCTCACAACAAATAAAGCACAGATAACGTAGAAAACTAGTAAACTACACAAATAAATCGGACTACTGCCAGTTTAGAGTAATATAGCAAATGACGAGAATTATGTGATAAAGTGCCCTATATTGCACTGTATAATCTACCAGATGGCACTAACACCTAATAGTTGTCAGTTTATGAGAACTGTGTAATAAAGGACTATTATATTCAAAAAAGGCCCTTATTTTAGAAATGTGTGTTTGTTTTTTGTTTTCCTCTTAGCTTGGTTTACTCTTAAAATAGCCACTTATATTTACTGATATACAGAATATTGAAAGAATTATCATTAAATCCACATGTCATGATATTATGTATCATATTGATCTCAGAGGATGGTCAGGCTATAAAGGAAATCCAGAGCCATGGATGGTACAATCTGCATCATTGTGAACATTTGCTGAGAGTCACAATTTTGCAATTTTCCTCATCCCCACTCACACTGTTCAGGGATTTGCTTTTTTCCAATCACGTCTGTATTTTTTAAAGTGTTTTTTTTTTCATAAGTGGTGTATCGGGTGTAAACATGGGTGACAGGAAGCAGTGTGGGTGAGGGGAGTCCATCACTAGGCAACAGTGACGGCAGCTGATGTGCAGCTGAGGAGGTCCTTCTTAGAAGCACAAGGAGAGTTTAGCTGGCTAATAGTTCCCGCAATTAATGTTGTTAATTTACTGTTAGATTCAGTGTTGATGTGAGTATGACAGACATTTGTATTGGACATTCACGAAAATATGGGACAAAACGCGTCCCCTATCCTTCAATATGAGACGCAATGTTTTCCTGCCAAACAAAGGATGATTCCGTATTTTAAGGGATGGGTTATAGCATGACTATGTCTCTGAACTGGCATGGTGTAGCCTCAGGGTCCCCCATAGCAGCTGACATAATTCTATTTGTGAAGCAGTGTTGGAAAAAACAATGCTTGTTTCTTTTAAAACTAATCTGAAAAATGTTAAATGCCTCTGTGCCCAGCTCTCTGAAGGCACACTTTGTGGAACCATCTTTTGCTGCAAGTATTTTGAGTCGTGACCTAATCTGCTCATCGACACACTGATGTTTTTGCTCATTGCTCTGTGGAAATGAGCTCAGCCTCACAGAACTGATGGAGCCCATTGGTCAATGTCAAAGGTTTAACTGTATTATCTCTACTCATCTTTTAGATTTGTGCTAAAATCTGATGGTTCTCCCTTTGCATATTTTAGGACTCCCCCAGTAATGAGTCATCTAGGAAAAAAAGTTTCTCAGTCTACATGTAAAAACTTATTAGGTCTTACCAACAAAGACTTAGTTAAAATTACAGGCAGATATTTGAGTTTCACAAAGCTACGTCACCTAAAAACAACTTCAAACATAGAAAGCAAAATATATTGATTTCTCTGAGCTTTACCAATTCACTTTGACCCACAATAAATCATGGGAAATGGAGGACCACAAACTTTAAATTTTCCATTAGGATGCAGCCTGTTGGGATGTCTACCCAGTAATATCACACTTTCTGTTGGCCAAAACAAAGTTGAAGATGTTTTTAACTTAAATATATAACTTAAATATCTTTTTAACTTAAATATCTGTCTCATTAATAAACAGTTCACTGAATTTAAAAGATGAGTTCAATACTGAGACCTAAGTTCTGATAAATGTATTCCTGAGAACTGAGGATGTACATCGCACCATCCACAGCTAGTCTCATCTAATCTGTGGATTTCAGTCTCTTTGGCTACTTATCTGATTAATGCTCTGCTTCCCGTTTGCACAGCTTATATAGATGAACTTATCTTGGTAGGTTTGCCGTTGTGTCATACTCTGCCTATTAGTAGTTAATAGACTTCTGCTTCATTTTTTAGTCTTCATGATTCTGTCTGTAGTCATCCAGGAAATTACTCCAGTAAAACTAAAAAAAAAATTGGTAGAAAGGCTTCTTGAGTACTGAGTAACTGTAACATCACATTTAATGTTTATAAATCATGCTGGCAAACAGACTTTATGTGCAAGTTCTGTCATTTTAAAGACACAAATGCCTAAAGAATACACATAAAGGTCATGAATATATACGAAAATATTTGTGCAGAAGAAATACTTTGACTATTTTGATTTTTTAGCATAAAACTAAACCAACCCTTGCAATAAGAACTGTATATATGTTAGGAAAGCATAACGAACTTCCACTGATGATATCTACAATTTACTGTATGTTTAATTGATTTTAGAATAGTTAAAATTATTCACAGTGGACAGAGTTGTCAGAGATTTTACTCAAGTAGGAGTGGCAATACTTAACAAGAATTTACTCAAATAAAAGTAAGTATGGCTCTACTCTGGAAAATGCTTTTTTTTTTTTTTCAAATTGTTACTGAAGTAAATGTAACTGAGTAAAAAAGCTAACTACTACCCACCTCTGCTAATATCTTTGTCTATTTTGCTCCCTCCAGAGAAGGTGATGGCAGAAAGGTGCTTCGCTCCAGCATCAGAGAGTTCCTCTGCAGTGAAGCCATGGCCGCCCTTGGGATCCCCACCACCCGAGCTGCCTCACTTGTCACCTCTGACCTTTACGTCAGTAGAGATCCTTTAAACAATGGTCAACGGATTGAGGAGCGCTGCTCAGTGGTTATGCGTCTCAATCCTACTTTCATCAGGTTTTGTAACTTCTCTGTGGACATGACCAGCAGTTTTGGCTCAACAGAAAGTTTTAACATGAGTTCTCTGTGTTGCTTCTCTCATTTTTCAACCAACAGGTTCGGCTCCTTTGAGATCTTCCAGAGCCGAGATGACTTCTCTGGCCTAGAGGGTCCAAGCGCGGGCCGACATGACATCCGTGCCCAGCTGCTGGATTATGTGATGAAAGTTTCTATCCACAAATTCAGCAGGCTCACCATGACAGGAAGGAAAGAAATCTGTCGTTTTTCAGAGAGGTGAGAGCTCGCAGTGTTTCCCTCCCAGGTCAGGTCTACTTTATGACACTGTCTCTGATTTGTTCACTGCCAGGTGATGATGCGGACAGCAAAGCTGGTGGCCCAGTGGCAATGCGTGGGCTTTTGCCATGGGGTCCTCAACACAGACAATATGAGCATCCTGGGACTAACTATGGACTATGGCCCCTTTGCTTTCATGGACAGGTAATACAAGATTTTTTGTAATATAAAGATAGAGACACTTCACTTTGATTGTATTATTCATGCTTTACAATTCAACTAAAAGCCAAAATTATCAAAGGAAAAAATCTGGATGCACAACTGTTCACACCTTTAAGCGAAGGTGTGGAGCCCTAATGTCTAATATAGATCTGACAGCAAAAATAGTCCATCTAAATAAGTCTTAAGTCTAACAGAAGAGTCTTTTTAATCTTGTTTTTAGATGAATATACTAAACCAGAGTAGATTCTATTAGATTATAATCTTCTTTTTAGATAATTATACATAAAACAAGTTCAATAATATGCCAGTGTAGTAAGACAATTGCACTTGGTGAGACTTCTTGAAGTGCAGCTGATCAAAAAGACTTTTTGGTGACTTCAAAAGTTATAAGACTTGGTCAGATGGAAACTTTTTGCAGTCTTGTTAGTATTGAGGTCAAAAATAGAAGTTTGATTTTATGTGACTGTGAAACTTTCTTCCACAAGGCTGCAGTAGATTTCAATCCATGCCTGGATGTTTGAATGACAGAAAATTATGCTACCAGTACAAGGAATGAATGTTTGCAGCGTCTAACGTCTGCATCCCTGAAAAGTTTCTGTAAAGCGATCGCTTTCTTGATTTTGCCACGCTAATAGGCTGCAGAAACTGATCTTAAAATAAGGAAAATTCCTCAAAATAAGTTTATTTGTCCTTAATTTGAGCAAGTGCAATTAGTATTTGTTTACCTTAGAATAAGATAATTGGATATTATGCATTAAAAAAAAAGATATTAGGGTTTTTCTTTTTTTCTTATTTTAAACACAAATCTAATTATCATACTTTCTTATATTATTACTTTTGCAGTGAAGTAATAATGTGAGTTTTTGGAGCTTTAGCCATCTCCTGACTGATTCCTTTATTAAAATTAGGCAATTTTGATCAGTTGTGTTATCTCTGAACAATAATTTAACTAGAGGAAGAAATTTCTACTTGGACAGTTGACTTTTTAAGCCATCAGTTATTCTATCAGCACTAGCAGATTTGAACCATGGGAAGAACAAATGGTGGAACCAAACAAGTGGTGCATATACAGTACACATTAAAAAAAAATTATAAACATGTTTCCCTCCAATACATTTCTAAAAAAAACCCCACAAAAAAATGTCCTCAAATGTGGAAAAACTTGAGATTTTAACTGAGATTATACATCCACTGATGTCTCTTTGACAGATTTGATCCAGACTTTGTCTGCAATGCCTCTGACAAAAGGAGGCGCTATTCGTACCAAGCCCAGCCCTCTGTGTGCCGATGGAACCTGGCCCGTCTGGCTGAAGCGTTGGGCCCTGAGCTGAAGGCTGCAGATGCCGGAGAGGTTCTTGATGATTTCATGCCAACTTATGAAGCTTTTTACTTATCCGGCATGAGAAAAAAGTTGGGTCTTGTGAGAAAAGAAGAAGCAGAGGACAGAGAGCTTATATCGGAGCTTTTCCGGGTCATGCATAACACTGGTAATAAAAAAAAAAGGAAATGCTTGACATTTAATTTTTTTTAAGTTTTTTTTAAATATATTTTTTGGATCCAGGGGCAGATTTCACAAACACTTTTCGCCTGCTGAGTCGTGTCCCATGGCCTGAGGAAGGAGATGATGAGAAGATTACTGTGCAGCCAATGGTGGACCTCATTGTAGAACAGTGTGCGTCCATCGAGGAGTTAAAGGTGGCTAATCAGCCCACAATGGATGACCGGTGAGAAGTGTATGGTGGATGAATTTAGCTGTACTCATACAACTGCCATAAAATCATATCAAAATGTGCACCAGCCCCACCATATGCTCTCATTGAATGTTTTTTTATGTTTGATTTCTTTAAATCAATGATCTGATCTCTTGTTTCCTCTAATGCCAGCATTTTGGGAGACAGTGTTACCAAGATAATATGTAAGTTAAAGTTATAATAGAGGTTACTGTAAAAAACACCAGTTAGCAGAACACTATGACCATTTAGAGATGACTGGTTATTTGGATCGGCTCAAACCATCTCCAAAATTGCCTCTTGATTTAACGTGTAGTTAAGTCCCTACCTGGACAGGTCAGAGCTGTTGGTTATAATGTCACGTATGCTGGTGAAGATTCTTAGTCATCCAGGTCATAGTCATTCCAAAAAAGTAAAAAAAAAACAATCCATTGGGCTTTGTTTCCAAGTTTGAAGATGTTTCGCTTCCATCCAGGAAGCTTTTTTATTTAAAAGAATTAGTGTTGAGTATGATGCTTTATAGACTGGAACAAAACAAAACCTTTTTTAGCTTAGAAAACATGCAAATTGAGCAGGAAGAACGGGTCCAAACGACTTCCCATTTTGAATTGGAAAAAGCTTCCAGGATGGGAAGTGAAACATCTTCAAACTCAGAAATAAAGTCCAGTGGATTGCTTTTTAACTTTTTTGGAAAGTCATAATGTAATGCGTAAACAGACCTGTGTTAAGGACTTCTACGTCTTTATATTTTTTCCAATTAAAACAATTTTATCATTGCTGTGTTATCAATTTGCAGTGAACTGGCGATGATTCTATCCATGGCCCAGACCAACCCAGTCATGTTTGGGATGGTAGCAGACAGGCCAAACAGCTGGAGCTAATGGGCCGACTAAAAGAGCTCCTTGAGACGGATCAAGATGAGCTGAGAGAAAAACAGCGGGACGACTGGAGCCGCTGGATCTGCAGGTACAGGTGAGGAAAAAAACGACCATAGGAATTCTTGATAGGAAGTAAATAATTTCATAAGCTGGAAGATCAGAAATATATAAAAAGTTTTTATTAAAATTCTTTTTCATTTTTCTGGCTCAGCTTTTTTCATCTGAAACACAGATGTTGGTGTCAAATAAGTTTACTGTTTACATCCGCACCCTATTCTGTTTTAAATATCGCCTGATAGCTTACATCGGGTTAAGAAATTTAGTTTTGGTTCCCTGTTCTTCTTTTAAATCCAGGGGAACTTCTTGGGGCGAATTTTCTGTAAGCTGTACCCAGTCAGAGATAGGAACGTCCAGATTTGACAGCTAAAAAGCTAATATTGGATTATATCAGCTTGTGTATGGTTGTTTACGTAACCCATAACCCATTGGTTAATAAAACATACCAATTGTTGTTCTCTAATTTTCTCTGTTCCACCATACAAAATAACCAATACAAGTATGTAGGATTTGTGCTGATATCCTACGGTTCAATATCTGTATCGTATTGAAAATTAACAAGTTGTATTGGTGTCTTTCTAGTCAAAGATTCCTACTGCAGGAAAGCACCTCCCAGTGTAGCAGTGCAGTACATCTCTAAATCTCTAAATATACTAGATGAAAAAAAACACACACATATATATATATAAATCTGTGTGTGTGTGTCACTGTTCTGGTTCTGTTATGTTTTCTTTTGAGTATTTAGTTTTACTTTGCTCCATGTTTTCTAGTTTTAGTGGTTTTATTCTTATTTTGTTGTGTTCTCTGGTTATTTTACAGTTTTGAGGTTTTTATTTGTTGCCCTCTGCTGCCCTCTTGTGTTCTCCTTTTTCCCTAGCTCCTTTCCTGTCTGCTCTGTTCACACCTGCTCCCAATCTGCTCGTTAGTCCTCTCTTTGTTTCAGTCTCCCATAAATACACTCATTATGCAGTTCCTCAGTGCTAGTTCCTCGTCTAACTTCCTCCAACTCTGTCTCACTAAGTCTTCCTCCTCGCGATAGTTTCTCCCAGATGTAAGATTTATGACACTTTTTTTTTTGTTAAAAAAAGCACAAAATCTAGACTCTGTTTAGACTGGAGCAGTTGCGTCAATTCAGCAGCAAATAAATTAACTATTTATCCTATCTGAAATAGCTGCAGAATTAATATAGATATCACAATATCACGATATACATAGCACGATATATCGAGATAATATCGGTATTGCTTTGATAAGTGCAACTGGGATGATGTTAATAACCAATGTCTACTTTTTCCTTGTAGCTGTTGTTTTTGTTTCAGAAGGGTGAAGGGATTGTTTACATGGTATTTGTTTGGTCATGTGACTGATTGTGATGCTGCTCAGGATTGTGGGTGTTTCACTGAAGCAGAGAAGTGATGTCAGCACTGTGGTTGACCTCTCACAGTATAAAATAGAGAGGAAAACATATGATCTATGATATCGGTAAATAGTGGTTATTATAACGGCAGATTTTTATATCCATGCAGAAGAAAGAAATTAAACATAATGGCTACATGTTGAATACATACCTCCGCTTTTGGCATCATGTTACTAAAACTTAACTGAATTGTCCTTTTATTTGCTCCTGGTACAACAGGAGGCGTTTAGCCCGAGAGTCTGACTGCACAAGTGACAAGCACCTAGTTAAACAAGAAAGGCTCAGAGTGATGAGCAGCAGCAATCCTCGGGTGGTGCTTCGCAACTATATTGCACAGAACGCCATTCAAGCTGCAGAAAAAGGAGACTTCTCTGAGGTAAGACCAATGCAAGAGGAAAAAAAAAATCAAACAAGATAAGCAGAACTAGTGAGATGAGGTAACTAGCTACTATTTTAAGCAAAACAAGATACTAACTATGTTTATTTTCTGCAATCTGCACATTCAAAATTCTTAGAGGAACAATCACTAAAAAAGCCATCCATAACTCTTCGATAAAAACTAATTTGACTTAAACACTTCTTTAGTTTGTTATGTTACAGACTCAAACATTGGTTATTTTTAGTCATTAAGTGAAATCTAAAAGGAATTGATTGCAATTGAATTATTAAAATCTATCAGATCAAAGTCTGACCCCAATATTTTCAAAAAACAATTATCTTTTCTCCAGCTGCTGTTCCATAACAGAAACAGCATCCTTTAAATATTAATTCATTCATAATTAATAAGGGGTGTTCATAGACAAAAATTAAATCAAACATGGAAAGAATTGTTGGTACTCCTTATTTAATAAAAGAAAGACCCACAATAGCCACAAAAATAACTTGAATCTGACAAAATTAATGATAAACTAAATAATATGAAAATGATCAAATAATAGTCAGATATGCTTTTCAAACAGACTTCGAAGGAATGATTTTAAACATAAACTAATAAAAAAGGCCTGGGCAAAAAATATTGATGAGACTGCAAATAATGTGACACAAGCAACATGTTAAATCAAGGGGTGTCCGCTAGTTAGCATCACAGGTAGGTTTTTACAATATAGTAATCAGTCAGTGGGCCTAAATATAGGGCTACAAGGTAGCTTTGTGGTACATGGTGTGTATTGCACTCTACATGGACCAGAGGACGCAAAGGAAAGAGTTGTTCAAGGACATCAGAAAGAAAAGTAGAGCCTGTCATATTAAAGGTAAAGGCTATAAGACTATATCCAAGCAGCTTGATGTTACTGTGACTACTGTCGCACATATAATTCAGACATTTAAGATCCATTGGACTGTATCCAACCTCCCTGGATGTGGCCACAGGAGTAAAATAAATAATAGATCAAAGAGACAGATAATACAAATGATGAGAAAAGAGTCCAAAAAAAAAAAAAAAACTTTTAAAGAGATAAAGGTTGAACTTAAAGCTCAAAGAGGATCACTCTCAGATAGCACCATCTATTATTGTTAAAGTGGACTTGATGGGAGAGGACCAAGGAGGACATCACTGCTAAAAAAAAAAAAAAACTATAAAAAAGCCAGACTGCAAATGCCAAACTAAATTTGACAAGCCACAAAGCTGTCCAATGCACAGATAAAACAAATATGGAACTTTTTGTCAAAACACAAAAGAACACTGTCTCTACTATAAAATATGGAGGAGGCTCTGTTATGCTCTGGGCTGCTTTGCTTTTTTTTTGCTGTGTCTTTAATATATGCATGGTACAGTGAAATCTAAAAATTAACAAGGGATTTCTAGAGAGAAATGTGCTGCCCGGTGTCAGAAAGCTTGATTCATGGGTCTTTAGCAGGATAATTACCCAAAACACACAACTAGGAAAACATTGGACTCTTCTGAAGTGGCATTCTATGAACTCTGACCTAAATCCTACTGAACATCTTTGGAAGAAGCTGAAAAAGGCTGTGTGGAAAATGCAGCCTGTTGAAACCTGAAAGAATTATAGCAGTTTGATCAAGAGGAGTGGACTAAAATACATGCTGAGAGGAGCAGAAGCCTCATTGACAGTTAAAGGAATCATTCGATAACAGTGATTGCTTCAAACTGTTGGGCAACAATATAAGTTAAGAGTACCATCACTTTTTTCCTTTCATTTAATTTAATAAAAAACAATAATTTTGTTAATGCATGGTTACAAACAAAATCTGACTTTCATTTGTTAATTTCATATATTTAAAATTTGTATTGATATTTCCAGGTATTTCTGTGACCATTGTGGGTACCAACAAGAGTGCCACACTTAGTTCATAAACTGACCAATAAGAGGGTTGGTTACATCTGAGAAGCTGTTTAAATGGTTCAATGGTTTTCAATGCACTCAGGAAGCAGAAGGGTAACAGAAAAGATACATGGAAAAGATAATAAGAAAATCTAACTGCAAAAAAGGATTTGAAAATGTAAGGTGAAAAAGAAAACAGAAATGGAGTAAGGAATAACCTTTTTAAATGTAAGATTAGGAAAGGTATTTATAATTAGAATTATGAATTGAAGTTTTTAAATCTCTTTGTATAAATAGGATTTGCACATTTTCAAATATTTTACTTATTTGCTAATGGATTGATACATATAATTTACAATTCCTAACGCACTAAAATATATTATTAGAAATCATTTTTATCAATTAGATTTCTTATTGTGTGATTTATTTGTTATATTTGAAATGACTGTTTATTTTTTCATTAATTCTCCTTTTCCTCCATAACTTATCGAAGGAAATAGAGCTTGGCTGCCTTTTTCAGGTCCCAGTTATGCATCTCTCTTGCATCTTGTCTGATAGGTCAACAGAGTTCTGAAAATTTTGGAGAAGCCGTACCTGGATCCTGAACCTTTGTCTGGACAAGATGCAGCATGTGGTGAACAGGAGGATCAGGAGAGGTGGTTTCCTGATAAATACGACGCTAAGCCTCCAGCCTGGGCTTCAAAGATTTGCATCACTTGATCCACATAGAGCCTCCCCAGACTGAAGGAGAGTCTGTTTTCACTGCTGGACTACATTTCCCATAACTAATCTCTAAATCTTAAACATAACATAGATGTGAGGGAAAGGTTTGTACCAGTCACACTGTCAGACTCTCCTCTGTTGCATGAAGGGGAAGCGGCTATTTTATGGTGTGTTCAGCCCTTCATTCTTGCAGAATTAGTTTGATCATTTTGGAGATTTGAGTAAAATTACATCATCAAAGTTAATTTTAGAAAAGAAGTGAAATCCTAAATATAACAGTCCTCGAAATTATTGGCACCCATGATGTTGATTTTTAAAAACCCTTTAATTATTACAGTAGCTGAATTTTCAATTGAAAAACACAGAAAAAGAGATATTTTAAAAGATTTTCTTGACAATCCTGATGAAAAGATGAGAGTAGCCGGGTTTCCATCCAACTGAAGTTGATATAATAAGAGACCTTTTCAAAGACCTAAAGAAAAGGAAATGCAAATTTGCTATATTTTCTGTTTGCTTAAACAAGCGACTTGAAGCGTAATATTATGTTCTAGACCACCGTAAGTGGTCTATAATATTGCATCCTATTTTCCTGAATTTTTTTCGGGTCGCAAGTTCCCACGCTGTTCAGCCGATGTGACATCAAGCATGTCAATAATAAAAGGGTCCACTTAGCAAATGATCAGCATATTATGGTTAAAATGGATTTTGTCACCATTGACGACTCAAAGTAAGGTAATCAAAAAACTTAGGCTACGTTCACACTGCAGCCTGAAGTGACCCAATTCCGAATTTTTTGCCCATATGTGACCTGTATCAGATCTTTTTATGACAGTCTGAACGACACAGATCGGATTTTTTCAAATGCGACCCAGGCCACTTGGATATGTGGTCCTGAATCCGATACGTATCTGATCTTTTCAAATGCGACCTGTGTCTGTACGGCCAGGTCGCATTCATTCGACCTACACGTCATTGATACTTGACAAATGTTACTAAACGTTACTAATCTGCGTCCTACTAAGCGGAGTCCTAATTCATATTTGGAAAGATAGCTCGATTCAGATCAAACTCGAAGGGTCTTACCGGAACCTGGCTCTCTTTCTTTTTGATCTTCTTAAAAAGATTTCGTTCATAATGTGCCTGCTCCTGTTGGAGAAGAACTTAAAGAACGCATTATACGCTGCGGTATTACGAGTCATGTTTACTTCCGCAAACACTGAGGACGCTTGCTACATGTGACGTCATCGCGTCCTCGAGTGCGCATGCGGGACACTTCGGTTGAACGCTTTCAGTTCACACAGTAGATCACATACAAGTCGCATATACTTGGAAGTGTGAACGGACACGCAAAAAAATCCGATTTCACAAAAAAATCGGAATTGAGCATTAAGGCCTGCAGTGTGAACGTAGCCTTATAGAGTCCAAGCATGAGCAGAAGAGTGCTGCAGTGCTGTATTTTGGCCACAAGTGATAGTATTAGATAACTCTGTAATACCTCTTTAATGACAGAATTTTAAAAACCTAATTTCATAGACTGCATAGAATCAGGTGGAATTATATCTCAACCAATCATTAACTAACTAACTCCCGTGTGCAACATAATAATCCAAAACTGAGAATGACGGCTCAGATGACCAGTCACACAATGACCTGTCTGAGCCTGAAGGTTTGGGAACACACCAGAAAACTACAAGCAGATAAACTACCTTTAAAATACTTTAGCTGTGGAGTTAATATTGTGTTTCTACAAATGATAAAGCAATTAAAATGCTCTCCAAGTGTTTTCAATAAAAACAGCTGTAATGCTCACCTGTATGAATTTATTTTGTCTGGTTTGTGAACCACTATATATATATTTAAGACTTGAAGTGTTACCAGCAGTGCAAATGAAATTGTTTCCAAAATATCATATAGTTAAATGTGTGTAACTTTTTAAGGAGTGGTAGTTTTTATTCTGGCCATTAGAAGTTGCCCAATGAGAAAATATGAAAGAATGGACAACATATAGATGCTTTCTGTTTCTTTTGTACATGTACAGTCAATATGGAGTTTACATCCCTTTGTGTTGAGTGTGCGTGTCCTGCTTGCAGCTCAGGTTCACAAAGATAGCAGCTTAACATGCTTTCTGCTTGTGTACGCCTTGTTTTTCCCACCCTGTTATCTCATTTTTAGCCAATGAAGAGGCTCACCCAGGGAGCCAATCAGATAAGAGCCCTTTCACTAAGGTTTACAATAGGTTGTTATAAAAGGAACTGTTATCTTATCTAAGGTTTTCTTTCTTCAAGTTGCACTTTAGAGGACCAGGAGAACTTTGGAAATTATAGGTGCTATAAATTGTAAAGCTATATGTTAAAAGTTCAAAAGCCTGTGTTTTTTTTAAACAAGATTCCCATTTTTTATTTTAATATTTCAGAGACTACACTCTTTAATGTTATATTCAATTACTTTAAAACCATAATTTTCTATTTATTTTGATGAAATTTGACCAGCATAAGGTATAGCTAAGTAGGGAAACAGTTTCTGTAACAAAGAGAAACCTGATTTTAATGATAGTTGGGTAAATATAGCTGTAATTAGCTTCTGCCTCAGGGTCAGTCTTACCCATATTCCCCTGTGTTTACAGTGCAAAGGCATACAGGCATGCATTTATCTTAAACATTTTTTCTGGTCATGTGACTGTGTCAGCCTCAGCAGGAAATGATGGGGGTGATGACACACTTTGAAAACATAGCCTCAAAACAGAAAGTACTGCTGCATTTAACAGCTGCGTTGTCCAGAGGATGAACAGACATGTCTACTGTAAATGAACAACTCTTGGAGGTTTTGGAGGATCTGCTTGATGAGGAACTGGGGACTTTTCAGTGGCATCTTTACAGCAAAACCGTTGAAGGATTTACTCATATCCCAAAGTCTCAAGCTAAAGGCTTGGACAGGAAGGACACTGTGACTCTTGTGGTGACAACATATGGTTATGACGGTGCTGTGACCATAACCATAAAGATACTGGAGAAAATGAGACAGAAGCTTTTAGTTGATAAACTAAAAGAATATCACAGCAACGGTAAGGTAGAGGTTTAGTTGATTTGTTTACCAAAAAAAGCGATGGTTAGTAAAATCTGTACACTTTTGTTTTTGATCAGGTCAAATAAATAAGACAGACAAAGGTAAGACTATAAAAATATACAATTCTAATAATTTATGTTCATCTATGTTTTTACTGAAGTGTGAAATGTTTCCTTGAACAGAGAGTGACCTTGTTACCATCCAAGGGAGACTGAAATCTAAATTAAAGGAAAAGTGCCAGAACATTTATGAGGGAAATGCGGAAGAAGGAGATAACATCTACTTGAAAAGAATCTACACCGAGCTCCATGTGATTACAGGAGCCTGGGGAAGCCTAAGTGATGAACGTGAGGTCAGACAGCAGAAGTCCAAGCAAACATCGGTGGAGGAAACAATTAACGTTCAAGATCTTTTTAAGCCTAGGCCCAATCAAGAAAAGCGCATCAGAACTGTTCTTACCCAGGGTATCCCTGGAATGGGTAAGACTGTCTGTGCCCAGAAGTTCACACTGAGCTGGGCGGAAGGAGAGGAACACCAGGACATAACCTTTCTCTTTCCACTTCCTTTCCGGGAATTGAATTCAATCATTGGCGAAAGGGACTATACATTAATGCAGCTGCTCCACCACTTTTTCCCTGACATTAAACCCATTCAGAAGCTATCAGAATGTAAAGTACTATTCATTTTTGATGGCCTTGACGAGAGCCTTCTGCCCTTAGATTTCAAACACAACAAGGTTTTGAGAGACGAGACGGAGTCGGCCCTGCTTGATGTGCTGATCACCAACCTCATTGCAGGGGATCTGCTCGGGAATGCGCTCATCTGGATAACCTCCAGGCCTGCGGCGGCCAACAAAATTCCCCGAAAGTACATTGACCAGTGGACTGAGATGAAAGGATTCACTGAAAACCAGTGGCAGGAATACTTTAAGAAGCGCGTGAGGGATGATGCACTGTCGCTTAGGATGATCAACCACGTGAAATCATCGAAAAGCCTGTATGTTATGTGTCAAATACCTATTTTCTGCTGGATCACCGTCAAGTTGATGAAGAAAATGCTGCAAGACAAGGCAACAGACAGAATGCCTAACACCCTAACTGAGATGTATGCATATCTTCTTCTCTGCCAGACTGACCGGATGAGAGAAAGGCATTACACCATGAGGAGTGATAATGTCTATTTGAAGCTTGCAGAATTAGCCTTCCAACAGCTCGAAAAAGGCAGACTTATCTTCTATGAGGCTGATCTGAAAGAATGCCGCATGGATGTGAACGAGGCAACCATGCATTCAGGAGTCTGCACAGAGATCTTCCAGATGGAGGAGGGCAAGAGGCATAAGGTTTTCAGCTTTGTGCACTTGACTATCCAGGAGTTTCTGGCGGCTGTGTTTGCCCATTATTCATACATGCAAAACAAGGACAATGTCCTTCTGGGAAGGCTTGGAAGATTTCCCTCAAAACTCTTGAAAAAGTCTGTTTTTGGCTTCCATAAATGTGCCATTGAAAAAGCTTTGAGTAGTAAGACCGGCCAATGGGATCTCTTCCTTCGCTTTCTTCTGGGCCTCTCGTTGAAGTCAAACCAGGAGCTTCTTTACAGAATACTGCCTTTGGAAGTAGAAGGAGAGGAGGATGTGGCAAACACTATACAGTTTATCAAAGACATTATCAGTGCAGAACCTGAAATGAATCTTAACTTGTTCCATTGTCTGGGGGAGCTCAGGGAGGAATCTCTTGTTCAGGAAATCCAGAGCTTTGTGAGTACTGGAAAGATTGCAAGCAAACAGTTATCTCCTGCTCAATGGTCAGCTCTCACTTTTGAGCTAATGACATCCGAGGCTCTGGAGAAAGAGTTTGACCTAAAGAAATACATAAGATCAGAGGAGGGGGTAGAGAAGCTGCTTCCTGTTATAACCTCCTCCACTCATGCCCTGTAAGTATAGCTAACCTAAGTTGATTGAAACAGCTCTCCTATCCAGAATCAACCAGCATTTTGATGAATTGAAAGTCCTTATCTTGCCTTTAGTTAACAAACCTTAACCTCATGTAACTATTGCATTGTGTTTCCCTCTAAGCCTAGATGGTTGCAAGCTTACTGAAAACTGCTGCCAATTGCTGGCCTCCGCGCTGAGCTCAACATCCTCTCAACTGACAGATTTAGATTTGAGCAAGAACAGTCTGAGGGATTCAGGAGTGAGACTGCTTTCTGATGGCCTAAGGAGTCCTCATTGCAAGCTGAAGAGTTTAAGGTGTTTCCATTTGATGCTTTATAATACCTCTCTCTCTAAAGCAGCAATGTTGGAAGATTGATTTTTGTTGGGGTTTAAATATATGTCAAGCCAAATCAGAACAAGAATATTAGTATATTTTTACTTAAGTTTAATTGAGCAAAAAGAGACTTCCTGCTGGCAAGGATAGTTCATTCTCTCAGGAAGTCTTCATTGGTTCGCATAAAATTTCTTCTGACAGAAAAGGGTAAAAGTATGTAATGAGAGCAAACAAGTGCTGCAATAACAGATTAATATTTTTTGTTCCTTCAACTCTGGTAGAGAGAACAAATGTTGCTCTTCTTGCTGAATATGCTTTTCCCTTTACTTTATTCTTGTAAGCAGGTTGTTGAAGCAGTTTTGAATTGAAACAGTTCTCTCCACTTCCTTGTTTTTTTAGACTACATAAATGCAAAGTTGAGGGTGGCTGCTGTGAGGCTTTGGCAAATGCTCTTACAACAGAGTCGACACAGCTGAGAGTGCTGGACCTGAGTGCTAATGACCTTAAGGAAGAAGGAGTGATAGCCCTGAGTCTGGGACTGGGCAGCCGTCATTGCAAAGTGGAAACACTTAGGTTACGTCTGCTTTTTTCTGACAGTTAAATTATTGCTTTGAAAACAGTGCTGTGAGGAGAAAAAGCTTCAGAACCTTTCATATTTTTTGAGTGATGTTTCTAAAGGGTTAGTCACAAAACTCTTGATGTGGGTAAATAATAGTTCATTCAAACCGAAGGTAAAACCCTATTAATGATTATTTGTGAACTTATTATAAATGTAATTTGCTTACTGAACAGGGTTCTTAATCTTTTACGTAAAGCCTGGACTCTTTGATTGGCTGTTAAAATCCAGTTGCCTTCACCAATTTAGTGATTTGGGCTATGGCTATCAGAAGAGCAAAAAAATCATCATCCAAAGAAATTGTCTCTATTCATTCAAAGGTTACTAATACTACTTGAATCTTTTTTGAAGTTTAAAGACTTTGACCAAGCACAGAAATGCTTGAAGAATGTGGCAATGATGTATAGTAGGCTCACTTTTGTATTGAAACTTTTTTGAGAAGTTGCATGACACACAATTTATAAAAAAAACTGCATTTTTTTATCACCCTAAACAGCAAAATGGGAACAAAAGGACAAATATTCTCTTTCAGTATGGTGCACTATCAATAGTCAATTAAAGGATGAACTTATAAGACTATTCAGTAACTGAATCATGAAATCAAAGTAGGTCAATAACCGAGACATTAGTCCAAAACACTGAATCAAGAAAACTCCAGATTGTTTCCAGAGGCAGAAAGCAAAACTGTTTAAAAGGCTCCCAGTGAATCAACTAACTTGAATCCAACTAAAAATCAATAGAAATAACTGAGGTTCAAATTGTGTCCCATTAAAGTCCTTTGATTTTAACTTTCTGTGATAACCAGGGGGTCACAATTATGAGTGTATTTAGCTACAGGACACTCCTCATTGTTGATTTAACATAGAAATGCTTTGAGTTCCATTACTGTATGTATACATGTATGTGTGGATTCATTAAGTTGTTGCTGAAACATTTTGTTCGTCTTTTGTAGTTTGGATCAGTGCAAACTGGGAGAGAACGACTGTGTGGCTTTAGCTTCAGTCTTCAGCTCACATGCTTCTCAGCTGAAATTTCTTGATTTGAGTAATAACGGCTTAAAGGATGCTGGTGTATATCAGCTTTCAGCTGGACTGAAAGATCCAAACTGCAAACTGGAGATTCTCAGGTAAGTCTGCCTTCTGCAGTTTGATGGTTTTGCACAGCATTACAATTATATATCAATAATACCAAATTTATAACCTACTCAACTTCATAAATGCCGTTAACTTTTCATTTTACCTCATTCCCAGTTACAAGACGGTCTGTCAGTAAAGTAAAACATTAACTTGCGACTAGTTGCATAAGTTAAACCTTAGAAAAAATAATGAAACATTTTTTATTATCTTAACAGAACAGAATATTCGGATGGACAAACACACTTTCATTGAAATATATATTTAACATGATTACAAAAAATATGACAATTATCAAGAATATATGCTGGTGAAGATTCTCAGTCATCCAGGTCATAGTCATTCCATAAAAGTTTAAAAAACAATCCACTGGACTTTTTTCCAAGGTTTAAAAACGTTTTGCTTCCCCTCCAGGAAGCTTTCTCAATTCAAAATGTCTGGAACCAAATAAACCGCTCGCCAGTTTCAATTTGCATGTTTCCAAGCAACACAAGGCCTTGTCTATATAAAGCCTCAAACTCAATGCAAATCCAGACATTTTGAATTGAGAAAGCTTCCTGGAGGGGAAGCGAAACGTCTTCAAACCTTGGAAACAAAGTCCAGTGTATTGTTTTTTTTTTTTTACTTTTACGGAATATCAACAATATACTTAATGAAAGTAGCACTACTTTCTACTCTTTATGTTAATCTATTCTAGTAGTTTAAGTAGTTTAACATAAAGAATAGTGGAAGTACTCTTACACCTTGTTCGTCTGGATGTGCGAAGGGGACATGGTGCAGTATTTATCGTCAGTCAGAAAAATTAGAAGTGGCGGCCGGCCACTTCTATTTTTGCTACTTGCTGCTCCAACTCCATGCCAATCTATACCAGAGCGAATCATTTAGATAGGAATTCAGTTGATGGAAAGCAAAGTGGATCCGGTCAAGTTTATGAATATGAGCATTGATTAAAAAAACAAAACAAACAAAAGATTTAAATTCACTAACCAAATGTAGATCCAAAGAAAAAGAGTTACAGTGATTAGATAAGAGCAGCCACACCAGACACTGTTAGTATTGGCAAAAAACAAAGAAAACACTTAGCTGGTTAATTATTCTATTTAAGCATAGAGGTACAGAACTGCTATGCGATGAAGCAATCCTGATGATCTAAGTCAGAGGTCTTCAACAGGGGGTCCGTGACCCCTAGGGGTCCACGGAGGTACTGCATGGGGGTCGCGAAAGTTTTGGTTGATTAGACTTTTTTTATATTCCCCACTGCAATTTTTTCCACTAATTGAAATGTCTTTAAATGCACATTAACATGAATTCAACAGACTGAAGTATACAGATAAATGGAGGCAGAAGATGTCTTTCAGTCATCAATGCACACATTCAGAGACACACAGGAGCTCTTTCAAGCTGGACACCGTTTCATTTACAACACCTGACCCATCAACCAGGAATCAGAATCAGAAATACTTTAATAATCCCAGGGTAAAATTACTTAGAGTGACTATAGGACAGGGGCGTTGCTAGGCACAAAGCTTTACTGGGGCACTGGCCCCCTACCGCATATGCCCCTCCTGCCATACACAAATACAGACAAGCACACTGCCCCACCCTGATAAATTCCTACCAAAATTACCAGTTGAGATATTAATGAGTGTAAGAGCATATTTGTTTTAACAGACATGAACATTTTCAACATTGCAGCTATAAAAAATAAGACATCAACAACTTTGACAAATAAAAAGTTTCCTTATACACATTCTGAAGTAATCATTAATTCCTAGGTTTCAGAGTTTTAGTTCGGGGGAAAGTTTAACTCATCCTGAACTAAGTTTTTATTTTATTTTTTGATCATTAAAGTGTTCCTCCTATTTTTTTATTTTTGCAAAGCGGTCAATCACTAGACTGTGACTCAGCTTAGAAAGTTCTTCCTTTTCAACTGATAAAATAGCAGGATGATGGAGGCTGTCTTGTCCCATTGTGCACCTCATCCAAGTGTGGATCCTTCTCAACACACTGAATGACCTTTCACAACTCCAGCTGTAGACTGGGATGGTGAGGAAGATCTGGATGACCTGCGTTAGTGTTGGGAACATGGTGTTATCAAGCAAGTTGAAAACACACTGCATATCCTTCATGACAAGGCTTTCTTTTTCAACCATAAAAAGCTCAAACCATTTTGAATTAAATGAACGTTTTTTTTACTCCAACTTTGTCCTGGGGTTAGTGGGACAACTTCACTTGTTTAGGACCATCATGCTTTCCCCCTAAGTCACTAATGTCCCCTTCTTGTTTGTGGACGCTGGTTGTTGCTCCCTCATCACCTTCATGGTCCTGTCTCTCCTGTCCTTCACCTGTCTCTCCTGTCTCTCTCCTGTCTCTTGCCTGTCAGTCTCGTCTCATCCTCCCTTTCCTACTCCAGCACCTTCATTCTCATTCTCTACAGCAAACATTAAAAAAACGTAAATCTATAATTATGTAAATATCTATCATATTGCTTATAACGTTCCTAATGTAACTAGTTAGCTTAAATCACTAATTCATAACGGGACCTTACCTCCCTCTCTCTCATCTTGTTTTACTGCTTCCCTGTCTCTGCTTCGTGTGAGGAATTTCCTGATATCCATCTACAAACCAATGCAGTAATTTTCAGTTAGTAGCCTATAAATCATGTGGTTTCACTGGGAAAATAATGAAATTGACGGGTAAGAAACGTTACCAGAACTAAAAATGCGTTGCGGCCGCACAGTGTCCCATCCAAAACAGCTGAGAGCAGCGCGTTAATTTACCTGCAGTTCATTCAGTGACATGCGCTGACGTGGGGGCGCTAATTCATCCTCAACTTGGAGTAAACAACACACTTGCTACGCATTTGAGTAGAAATGTACGTCTCCTCCCGTTGGAATTATCTAAATTGATGCATTAAAAAAATTTATCACTGTTGCAAATATTCATGAGATTTATACTGGGGCACGTGCCCCAGTAAATGGGGTCTGGCGACGCCGATGCTATAGGAACAGTTTGATATAACACAATTTCATACAATATATATAATTAGGGGGTCCCCGCTCCATCTTGCCATCAGTTTGGGGGTCCTTGGCCTGGAAAACATTGAAGACCCCTGATCTAAGTCCTACTGTGCAGAATTTCTCTACTCTGAAAATGTGGGTCCCTGGCAAAAGACGCTGTGCAGTTGCTTCAACATCCAATAGAACTAATGGGCTATGCATATACTTCCACTGATGATCACTTGTTACCTTCAAGGAGAGAAATCACATAGATAGCAGATTTTATGTGAGACTAAAAAAAAATGAATAAAACACAGTGGAGAAAGTGCTACAACAGGGGAATTAATGCAAAACTAGGACTTATATGATCATGGTTAAGTTTTGTTTGTCCAAGGAAGATTCATTCTGAGCTCAATAAAAAAATCAAAATATCCTCAAAGTATGTAGTGCTTCCACACATTTTAATTTATCAGACTTAATGCTGGCAGTTGGAGTAAATAACTTCTAAATTAGATCAGACATAAATGTCTGCATTTTCCCTATACTTTAAATGCTTTTGCTGTAAATAACTGCATGTAAAATAATTTTTTGCTCTGTTCTTTTGTCTAAAACAATGTTTTGCCTGTTTCTTTGCTCCGTATGCACCTCTCAGATGTACAGGCGTGCTCCCCTCTTTGAAGGTTGTACAGCTGGTCTGAGTGCACTGAGTAGGAGGTTTAAACCTATCATACATTTTAAGAAAGCTGCAGCACAGACAAGTTCCAATTAGTATGCATGTTAATTGGACAATAAATAAAAAAGCTGCTATTTCAACAAAATTACTGCTATTTAAAGAAAACAAATGCACATTTGCAGTTTTTTTTTAACAGTTATTTCACTATACAGTAAGCTAATTTAAAAACTCATATAAGCTTGAAATAATTCTTTTTTATCTATAATGTAGGCTCTTACCTTACTGTTCAGATATTAAACGTTGGATATGTAGTTTATTTTATTTTCATTTATTTATTTATTTTTTATCAGACTCAGCTGGTGTGGTCTAACACAGAAATCCTGCAGCCACATAAGCCCAATCCTCAGCACAGATTGCAGCACAATCAGAGAGCTGGACCTTGGTGGCAACAACCTACAAGGTCAAGGCTTCAGCCTACTGTGCTCTGGTCTCAAAAGTCAGAACTGTAAACTGGAAACATTAAGGTAAGTTTTGGCAGCATTAGTGGAATCATTGATTATTATGCTGATTTATGTTTTCTCAGTTGGGATGAAATATTGCTTGTTGAGGCAACATACTTAGGGTGCGGTTTCTGATGCGTCCCCTGTCTGAACCTTGCAGATTGCATGACTGTGGTCTCCAGAAGTGCGGTGCTGAAATTGCTTCAGTCCTCTCCACCAGCAGCTCACAGCTGAAGGAGCTTGATCTGTGTGGAAATGACCTTGAGGACCAGGGAGTGGAGTTGCTCTCTAATGGAATAGCAAATCCAAACTGTGCACTAGAAACCTTAAGGTAAGCAGCTTTCCTGTCCTATATTATAATGCTTTAACAAATCAACTGAAGCAAATTAAGTTATTAAGGTAAATCTTAACTCTGACATGAAAATTGATTAAGTGTGACTTGATGATGCAGGCTCTCATTTTGCGGAGTCACAGTAAAAGGCTGCACACATCTGGCTTCAGCACTGAGCTCCAACCCTTTGCACCTCAGAAAGCTGGACCTTAGCTACAATTTTCTGCAGGAATCTGGAGTCAATCTGATCTCAGATCAGCGGGATAATCCACTTTGTAAGCTAGAGGATCTAAGGTAAACCAAATGCACAATTTGCTGAGTATATTAAGTCCGACTCCATATATGTAACCTCTGACATGTAAGAAATCTCAGTTTCATGTAGTTGTTCAAATGGTCTTCTTATGAGTTTTAATTGTGCAATATGAAGAAATATTTCAAGTTTCTTTAATGTTCTTTTTTGTATTTATTTCCCTCCTACAGGGTGGATCACAGTGAGGAATGTTATCTGAAATCGATGCTGAAAAATTGTAAGTTTTCCATTATTATTATCTCTATTCATTATGTTAGATTTTTATTGTGGCCATATAGACTCCTAAAAATGATTATGGAAATAAAAAACTGATCAGTTCCATTTACTGTTGCATACAAAGTGTAAAGGTCTATAACACTGTGCTATTGGCATCTTAAAGACATATTAATATCCCCTGATATATTCTTCTGTTACATTTTAATATTGTTTTCAGCTTAAAATGCCAGTGTTTGCAGGTTTTGTCCTGACTGACGGCAATAACATGAATGCAACTTTATTCAACATTAATATCAAGCATAAATATGCAAAGTTTGCAAGGGTCTGCAACCTTTACAATCCAAAGAGCCATTTTTGACTTCAGTACAACTAAGAAAAGGTGTCTAGAGCCACAAACATTACATGTAATATTGCCCGCTCGAAATCTGACTTTTTTAAAGAAAAAACTGTTTGATTTCAGATTTTAGTTAAAAATCAAAAAAAGAATTCATTTTCAATGGGTTGCTCTTAAAAATAATTTCTTTTATATTTGTAGTCGACTTATTTTGGAAATTCAATGCAATTGGTCAACAGAGAAAATGTTAAAACCTTCATATGTTTGTCTTTTTATATTTGAAAAGATTATTTTGTACTTTATCTATTAATTGATTGATTAAGGGCTATTAAAGAATGTCTAAAGAGCCACACGTGGCTCTGGAGCCACAGGTTGCAGACCCCTGCCTTAGACTAATGACGTTAAAACCAGACCTTTGGGGCGATGATCTTCAGACAAATTGACAATCAGGATTTGCGCATTCTTGAATGAAAGACAGATTTCTGATCAGTCAGGGAGGATCAGTCTTCATAAGATCATTTTGCCTTTAAAGCAGCGAGGAATTAATGAAGCTGACTGTGGAAGCAGGGTGATGTTACACTGTGCAATGCTATCCAGTAGGATTGTGATGGTTCTATTATATGTCCAGGAAATATCTAGTGTAGCCCTGTCAGTTTGGTACAAACATCTACACAATAAACACCTGTTTTTATACACAAGCAGAATTATTATACACAGAACTAAATGTTAAATGTAATACATTGTAAATAACTTATTTTTTTTATCATTAAGCTAAAATGGAGACAAATGTTGGACTAAGACAAACATTGATGTCAATGTACTGCCACTTAAAGTACATATCTCACTCAGCACTTAACTGAATTACTCTCCCGAAACAACGTCAAGGCCAATGAAATCATCACTGACACTGGTAGGGAAATCAGTTGACCTCCAAATGACTACCTGTAGCCTCCAATCAGCCCCAAATGTTATCTAAATACCCGTTGGAGTAATCTCTTTGGATGAGATCCTGTTATTGCATGTTGCATTTACGTATAGCTGGAGCACTGGTTGGTATAAATGTCAAAAGAAGCTAAAACTGATTTTATTTTGATTCAATTTTGGCCTTTTCAAGGAATTATTGTAGAGACAACTCACAAACTAGCTTTTCAGACCGCTTTTCAACTGTGAATATTTGCATCATCGCTAAAAAGCTCTTCACTAATACTTCATCATCACAGCGACTACTAAAATATTGTACTGCTGCAATGATATATGTTAAAAATAAACAAAAAAAACACTCTCTCACAAAGAAACTTTGATTGTTGGTTGCTTAAGTCTCACTTATTGGCTGTTGGGTACATAGTAGTAACAGGTTGGGACCCCGTAAGCAATGGGAACTTATTGTGGACAAGGATTCAGCAATGAGTCAGGTTATTGATTGGAGTTTTGTAAATGGAAATTTGAAAAAGGAAGGCCATCCATGAATGAAACTTGAAAAATCTTCTTAATAAAAAAAAAAGTTACATTTTTACTAATAACTTCTTAGTTATTAGTAAATAACTTAATAACTGCTGTTTTCTTAGATTTTGTATTTTCTCTAAACATTTTGTTTTATTAATTTTTCATATGTATTTTTCAAATATCTTTTTCAAGTTGCATTCTCCACACTTTTTAAAAAGATTTTATTAATCAATTCATCGTTTATTTTTTATTTTTCACACATTTTATATTTTTCTTTTTTTCAAATGTGCATTTTTTTTCAGATGGAGTTATAATAATTTTTTTTAAAGTTGCATTGTCAGATTTTGCACATTTTCCTCACTTCTGGAGGCGGGCTTTACTCTAGCATGAGGAGCAAAGTCACAATTCTATTGGTCTGCATGGACTTGAGCAACAACACTTTTATTGGTCAATGTGCGAGCAAGTGTTTGTATTGGTTTAAAGTAAAGAGCTTGTTATCTTTTAAATGCAGTTTAAAAAGAATGAAATTTACACATCTTAATCTAAAAAATAGAAATAAAACAATCCGTAAAAAAAATTACAAACAAGATTTAAAAATTTAAAATAGTTGAAGATACTTAACATTAAAATAACTAAATTATGTAAAATACATTTGAGTAAAAACTGTACACTTACTCTCAAGAACCTGTTTTTCAAATGTTTTTCAAAGTTTCAAATGTGGATCACATTTCAAACTTCAGTTTTTTCTCATTTCCATTTACAAAACATGTTCTTTGCTTGTGAAAATAATAGAACAAAATCCATTCCACAGAAACAGGTCCAATGAATGCCTTTCCTGTCAGATATTTTCCATTAATGATGACACAGTGTAAATAATTAAAATGCAGAGAGTGAATTCTACTGCTCTGTACTGATAGTGTATAGTGTAATAACAATAAAAGCTGAAGAAAAGAAAAATCATCGACTTGAAACAATCCCTTACACCAAGCATGCTCTTAGCGACAGTGGAGAGGAAAAGCTCACTTTTAACAGGAAGAAACCTTCAGCAGAACCAGAGACCGACTGCGGCTCAAGGAGATTGAAGCAGACATAATAGGTGGAACTAAAGGCTGATTTATACTCAGAAACCAGGTTGTCTGTGTGTGTCGCAGTGAACGCAAATATGTCCCTCAACCCCCTTTCCGCAGACACTCTCCAAAATTGTTGTTGTCCACAGACAGGAGGCCTCTGATTGGTAAAATCTACATCCGCTCTACAATATCCGTATTTCCTGTTTGGTACCTTACCGGCTTGTTTTGTTTATAAGACCGCCATTGTGGAAAAAGAACCAGCTAGAGGAATAATGTGTGGGAGAACACTGGGACCCCTTTTTCCACCTGGATCCCCGCTCTTTTTCGCCCTTATGTCCCTCCGTTGTGGAACAAACTTGCCCACTTCAGCCGTATCTAGACCCACAGCTAGTTTGTGATTGTCCCTCCTGCGTTGTGGCGTGGAATAACATAGCGCAGGCCACGCTTCAATATTGGGCATAAATCAAAAATATCTGCGACAAGCTCACTGTGTCACACTACTGCAGGATGATAACCAGCACTTCATGAGGGGGAACAAAAGGTGGCTCTGATCCCTCCTACTGGATGGGCCATGGAGTTCACCTGGGGGGTGTTCATGGGTTGGTAACTCCCTCGATAGAGTTGTTTCGGTCACATGCCTCTTTGAAGTGTGAGTCAGGCGAGGGCGGATCTTTTTATTGTTCCTAAAAGTGCTCTGTAAGTAGCTGAAAGGTAATGAGACCACCGCTTCTGTTGAGAGAAGGTTTTTCCAGGTTAACAAAGACGACTTCCTTAACTGCTCTTTGACCAAAACCACTCGGACGAGACGGTAAATGACCCAGCAGAACCCCCTAACAACCCATGAACACCCCCAGGTGTCCTCCTTGGCCAATCTAGTAGGAAGGATCAGAGCCACCTTTGTTCCCTCTATTTGTTAGGCCTACAGCATATTAATCTCAGTGCTTCCTACCAATAGTTAGAACTGAAGAAGCTGCTTGGATTAGGGGGGAAAACTGCACTTCCAGTTGCCTAAACTGAACTTTTCAAACTCGACCATTATCTGGATGACTGAGAATCTTCACCTACAATCTGTAAAATAATTCTGATAATGATAATCCAAACCGATCAGCAGTTTATGGAAACCAAGTTCAAATCACACAAAGTTCCTATCCAATGCTAATTCCAATGCTTGTTTTAAACTAACCCTTACTGTAGTTATAACATTTAAAATTAATATTTTAAATGAATGTTACCAGAGCAGTTAAACATTTAGAGAATTAATTTTAGTCAGGGTATGTTTGTTTTATTTCTGTCCTCCAAATTAAATGCCGTTATTATACTTTTTTCATCCCTGATAAAAATATAATTCAAAGATTTTTATTCTCGTTGGCTATGTCTATGAAAAACCCAAACAAGGAGTTACATCCCTGGTAGTTCTTAACTTCCTTTGCTAAGACTTAGAACAAGCCCAGCATCAGGGATCCCACTGTAAACACCAGAATTTCAACATTACATAATGCCCTCATTACCATTATGATTGATGGATAAACAAGAACTTTCTTTTTTCACAGACACCTGCACCCTGACCTTTGACTCCAACACGGCAGCCACGTCTCTCTTTCTGCACGATGGGGGCAAACAGGTGACATGGGTTAGGGAGTCACAGCCGTACCCACAGCACCCTGAACGGTTTGAAAGCATCTCCCAGGTCCTGTGTCACCAAGGCCTCACTGGGCGCCATTACTGGGAAGTGGAGTGGCGAGGGCGCTGGGTGGACATTGCGGTCGCCATGAGGGGAATCAGCCGCAGGGCGAGTAGTTATTTGTCTGGGTTCGGCAAAACTGATAAGTCCTGGTGTCTATTTTGCTCTGAGGATCATTACAGCGTTGAACATGACAGCAGGGGGTCGGAAATATCTGCACCTGCGTCTCCCTCTCACAAGGTTGCAGTCTTTCTGGATTGGCCTGGAGGGACCTTGTCTTTTTATAGTGTTTCTGCTGGGAGCCTCAAACATCTTCACACCTTCTACAATAACTTCACTGAGCCGCTCTACGCTGGGTTTGGTATGGAAGAGGATGACTGCTCAGTCATTCTTTGCTCTAATGCTGATATATAGGAACTTATTTCTCCATCTGAGTATGTGGTATGAATAAAAGGTAACAGCTAAAAAGATCCATTGTCACCACAAAGCAGACGTTTTTGTTTTAACTTTAGTTTTCCTCTCCCTTGGCATAAACTACAGCCCTGCAAATAAACTTCAGAAGCCAAAAGCGAACACAAGAAATCAAATTTCAAAGCATATTGTTATCCTGACCCTCCTTCTGTTAAAATGATTCATGGAAATGCAGGTCATTCTTCACAGAGCATTTCCAGAGACTTTTGTTTGGGTTTATTTTAGCCAATCACGGTCATGTTCAAGGCATTTCCCTTTTCCCCTTTTTGTTCTGATAAGTATAGTTTCTTACACAGATGACTCTAGGAGCCTGGAATGTTTATGTCTACACCGCCCACTCATCTAAGCAATGACCTACAGAAAAAACTGAACATTGAGATGAAAAGAAAGTATAAGAAGATATTAAAAACCAAGAAATGCTTAAATGTTTTAGGACCATACATTTTCCATCATTTAAACCACTAATACTGTTCTCAGATTTAGATCTATCACCTCCTACAGTTCTGTTAAGAGTCTATTAAGTGTTTATCCAAATAAAAAGCTGTTTTTCTAACCTCTATCCTGTCTGCATTAAGTTAGAGGCAACTGAGCCTTTCACTTTCTCTGAATGGATGGAGTCAAATGCAGTGATAGGCTGTAATTATGTGGTTATACTGAAATGGAAACCAGTGTGTTATAATGACGCACAACTTCTTGTGCATTTTATTTTGTTTTATCTCCATAATCTGAATAAGAGGAGATATTTGTTGGGAAAAAATTTGCCTGTAAAGTTTATTTCATAGATTTAACATTTCTTGGTCTCTAGTGTAGCTGTTGAAATTAGCATCTATTTTTGTCTGTTGTCTTTTAATTCATAGATGATAATCAGTATCAATATATTTTCATTGATTTTGAGACAATCCAATATTAGAAGACTGAACGGTTTCTATCCAACATTTTGCCTGAATTTCCACTTTTAATCCATCGGCTTGAACGGGTTTCATTTAGCATAAATGAATAAAACAGCATTTGAGAGCTGGTTTTGTTCTAAACATGTGATTTTTTTATATTCAGATGAATCAATGACTTAAGGCTGCATAAGTTGACTATCAGATGATTCTTATTGTGCAGATCTATGCAATAGATATAGATCAATCGACTATGTTGTCCCTGATCTCTTCACTCCAGCTTATGCTTTACTTTCTGAATGAAAAAAATAACCGCTCCCTAGCATGCTGCCTTGCCATCACATCTTCCTGAAGAATCTTCTGACAGAAAAAGTGAAATTAGACATTTTTCTTTTAATTGTGAAGGAATTCTGACACAACCAATCAAAACAACCAGAGTTTATTACATTATATATCCAGGGACGGAGTTGCTGTTAGACAAAACTAGCCGGTTGCAGAGTCTCACAAGTTCTTGAGGGCCCAAAAAAAGGTCCTCATACATGCATAGTTAATACAGTAATAATTATTATTTAGATTATTATTGCAGACACATGCTCTTAAAGCTACCAAACGTGACTAGCTTCTTGACTGCTAACAGCCACCTACAATGATAAGTAGGCCTTTTTCTTTCATTTCATTTCTTTGTGCAATTGAAGACTGGAAATGTTATGGTTCATTTTGAAGCACCAGAAGCTTTGAATGTTTTTTTTTTTGTTTTTTTTTTTTTACAGTAGATGAGAATTAAATAATTTAAGAAATTTTGTTGATGTTTTTATGTATTGAATTTCCAGGAAAACGTCAAGCTTTTGGGGTTCTTTAGTCAGTACACATGAATCTCTTCTTTGATAGATTTGTTGAGGCAAAAAAGATTTAAGGAACAAAAGGGAGAAAATATAAAGACTATAACAAAAAGGGGTTAAAAAAAAGCATGAAGAGGGAGAAAACAAGAAAAAGACAAGAAGATAAAAAAGAAAAAGATGAGAGTTAAATGAGTGTAATAGTAGAAGAAAAAGAGAAGGAAAAAAGGGATGGAAAAACAAAGATTGAGCAAAAGGGAGAGAAAAAGAAGAAGAAAGGAAAGGGGAAAAAAAATAAACTAATAAATCATGTGCATTCTGTTAAAATGACTATATATATATACAATGTTGTTATGAATTTTCTTCTTGTTTAAAGGGCCCCATGCCTGCCTTTACCTTGGTCCCCATATTTCTTAAACCCACCACTGCCTCAACCACTAACAATGTGAATAAATAATAATAAAAAAAACTAACAAATAATTTGAGATCACCCGGCTAATACACTGTTAGAATTTCCTCCTGCTCTACATTTATTTCTCATACCCAAGAAGCTAAAATGGATTTATAATAATCACATGCTCTTCCAGCATGAGATTCAAATCCTCTGCATGAAGTTTGGATATTCTCTCTCATTTCGTTGGGTTACCCTCTATTAGGTGAGGTGAGCTCAGTCCTTGCTTCCCAAACCTTTATTAGAGGCTCTTGACTAAAGAATAAATTATTAACATCTAAGGCATTAAGTGAACCTTTGGGGCATTAAAGAAAGTGATGAGTCAAGTCAGAAAGTCGGAGGAAAAGGGGAAGTGAAAGTGTCATAAGGAAACTGCTCAGGGCGAAACTTATCCTGCATGATTTGCAGAGTCACTATGATCATTTAAGGATCGAGAAATATTATTATCCTAAAGCTGTTATATCTGCTAATCCAATCTGTTTTATTAAAAACATGAATCTAAAAGCCCACTTTTAAATATCACCTTTTCTCTTCCTTCTTTTATAGAGGAAATGGCTGTCCCAGTGCTATTTACTGAGGAAGCGAACAAAGTTGTTCTCTTTTATTATATCTTAAGACAGTAAAACATAATGGAATTAAAATGATCTATATCTGTAACATGGACACAATAATTAAAACTTTGAATACGTAGTTTTTGCTCAAAGTGTAGGAGACTGACACTTTAATGGTGCAGCCAGTTTGGCAACTTTCACAGCTAAAGGCCAGTTGTAAGGAAGAAAAGCCAAACAACACACAGACCTATGGGTGCTCACAGTTCACACATACACACTCAAGCAAAAGCAAAGGAGGGATTTCAGATAAAAAGTCCTGGTTGTCAAGAAAAACTGTCGAATTCCTAGCATTGATCCAGGCTTTCTGAACGACTCTCATAGAAACCCCTGTGACTGATAACTTTCACATGTTTACTTAAAGGAGAAGGGAAGAAACTAACTGGGGGTGTTTCCAGGCAGTAAAACTGACATTCCCTTGTTAAAAGTATGTGTGCCCCATTTTTGGGGGCGGAGGATATGTTTTCTTTCAGCCCAGCTGTCAGAGCCAATGTCTGTCTGCTGCTGCTTTTTACCACTAATTATGACCTGAGGAAAAAAAAAAAAGAAAGGAGTGCGTTCATGGAAACCGGGAAGGAGGTGTGGCAGTTTAGTCAGTTGTATAAAAGGGCTGCATCTGTTGTGCTGTTTGAGCTGGGGTGCAAGGTTCAACCAACATGCAGGTACGTATTATACTAGGAACCGCTGTGATGTTTGATTGGAGCCATTTACAAATGCTTCAACCCAGTCTCATGGGAAAATGTACCCTCACTACGTTGGTCCACACTGCAAAACGTAGTGGAGGTACATTAATGGCCATTTTTTTATGGTACTGTTACGTTTCTTCTGCTTATACGCTTTCTATTGTTTTACGTCCTAGTCACGTGACTTTCAAGATTCCAGCTGGGAGAAGAAAACAATATATATATATGGCCGACATTCGCTCATTTTTTTTGTGTGGAAAGATTAATAACTTGAGTTTGTTTTTGCATTAAAATTAGTTTTGATTACATTTCTAGTGAGAAATGTATAGTTTGTTGCCAGAATATTTACTCAGGGAATGTACATATTCACTTGCTTGTTCGTTTCTTGCAAAGATTTTTCAAGATAATGTGAAACTGAAACGTTTTGGTATAAACATGGCTGAGATTTCTCTAACTTTTAGTGGGAAAATCAATAATTTCAATCAGTTTCTGCATTTAAATGGGTTTTGATTACATTTATAGCGAGAAGTGTAGGGTTTATTTACATAATATTTACTTAGTGAACATACATAATCACCCGCTTGCTAGTTTTTGCTACGGTTTTTCGGATCTCGTCAGGATTATGTGAAATTGCAACGTTTTGGCTGCTACCCATTGCCTAGCATTTAGCTGCCGCCCCGATTCAACATTGAATTCTTTGTGATTTAACTCCATCTGACGGATCAAACCCTCGCCACTGCGTGCGTTGCGTCTGAGGATGATTTTCAGATCAATGCATTACGTCGTGGCATACGGGAGAAACTAATTAAACTAGTTAAAAAAAGGATAATGGGTTAAGATCGGATGTGTTTTATTTGGAAATCTACCGGATCCTTTGTGCATTTAACTTCCTGTTTGGTGCGATCTCATTGATGGGTTTTGACCAGATTTTGACCAAAGAGGAACTCAAAAAAAAACAACAAAACAATTTAAATACACAGCCAGCATATCTGGAATCAATGACAGAGAGCGACTGGGACCAGAAGTATATTAATTTCTCCCCACTGATTTCCGTTTAAAATGTTTTCGCTCCCACCGGGCTCTAGGGAAGGGGCGGGCATACCGCCACCTACTGTTCATGAGTATGTAGCAACATTGTTTTATATCTATTAAATTCTATTTTTAATTTTGTATTCTGAAGATAAATAAATAATGCTTTCCTTAATCTATAAATATCTTTTATATTTCCTTTATTTCCCAATAATCCTTTAAGACTTTATTCTTGGCCTGTCCTCTTTTCAATTTCTTCCTTTCAGGTCCAGATGTTTTAAAGTTCATCAATACGTGTTCTACATTTTCTATCTCTCCACATCCTTCACATTTATCATTATTTTTCCTCCCTATTACGGTAAGTATAAATTGTCATTTAAATAAGTATGACCTACTCTTAATCTGATCATTATTATTTCTTCCCTTCGGTTTCTCTCATTAATATTTCTATTTAATACTGACTTTTGTACTTTATATAACTTTCTTCCTTTTTATCTTCATTCCACCTTTTTTGCCATTTTTCAATTTCTTTCCTCTTAATAAATGATTTTCCTTCCCCTTTCCCTAAAGGAATTGTAATTGTTATTTGTCTACTTTTCATTCCACCTAACTTTCCATTAATTAGCTTGAAAACAGCACTTTGTAGGCACCCAGTTTCTCTAACAATGGCCCTTTTTGGGTTACCCTCCATGCATTGGGTGTCAGTTCAGTGGCAGTTCCAGAACATTTTCTTAGGGTTGACCAGGCAGTACAATAATGTGCATGTGGCCAAAAAGTAATAGGGATCAAATTCGGTTCAGAGTCAAGCTATTGGGATCAGGCATCAGGTTCAATTTGCACATTTTCTTAGCCAAAACAAGGATTTGTTGGGCTACTGTAATTTTGAATTGAAAAACGTCCTGAATGGGAAGTCTTCAAACTTGAAAAACAAAGTCCAAAGTTTTTTTTTTTTTTTGGAATGATTATGACCTGGATGTCTAAGAATCTTCACCAGCTTATCAGGGAAATGAATGCCCACAATGTCTATATTCTCCAAAAGAGAATAACAGAACAGACCTTCATGAGGCCCTTGTTAAAGCTATGCACATATTTATGCATCTATGCTCTTCAAATAACTTTCTGGTTCGATGCAACATTTACATTAAATGGGTTGAGAGGTTGTTCTTTACCAGTAAATACATAAAAGATTCCCAGATGACTGCCGATACAAACTCTCCCCTATAAAACCTAAAACTAATTCTTATAAGAGAGTAAAATCTGTATTAGTCTTCATTAAATGTAGCATATTGTCGTAAATAATCGATTGCTTTATTTTTGGTGTAAGCTTTTGGTCAATATGCTAACCTTAAAAGGTCAAAGTGGGAAAATGTACCCCCACTACGGGTAGTAGTGGGGTAGTAGTAGACAAATTAGCAATTAGAGGAGGCAATAACAATTACAATTCCTTTAGGGAAAGGGGAAGGAAAATCATTTATTAAGAGGAAAGAAATTGAAAAATGGCAAAAAAGGTGGAATGAAGATAAAAAAGGAAGAAGGTTATATAAAGTACAAAAGTCAGTATTAAATAGAAATATTAATGAGAGAAACCGAAGGGAAGAAATAATAATGATCAGATTAAGAGTAGGTCATACTTATTTAAATGACAATTTATACTTAATAGGGAGGAAAAATAATGATAAATGTGAAGGATGTGTAAAATGTAGAACACCTATTGATGAACTGTAAAACATCTGGACCTGAAAGGAAGAAATTGAAAAGAGTTGAAAGGACAGGCCAAGAATAGAGTCTTAAAGGATTATTGGGAAATAAAGGAAATATAAAAGATATTTATAGATTAAGGAAAGCATTATTTATTTATCTTCAGAATACAAAATTAAAAAATAGAATTTAATAGATGTAAAACAATGTTGCTACACACTCATGAACAGTAGGTGGCGGTATGCCCGCCCCTTCCCTAGAGCCCGGTGGGAGCGAAAACATTTTGAATGGAAATCAGTGGGGAGAAATGAATAAACCTTTGGTCCCAGTCGCTCTCTGTCATTGATTCCAGATATGCTGGTTGGGTATTCAAATTGTTTTTGTTTGTTTTTTTAGTTCCTCTTTGGTCAAAATCTGGTCAAAACCCATCAATGAGATCGCACCAAACAGGAAGTTAAATGCACAAAGGATCCGGTAGATTTCCAAATAAAACACATCCGATCTTAACCCATGATCCTTTTTTTAACTAGTTTAATTAGTTTCTCCCGTATGCCACGACGTAAAGCATTGATCTGAAAATCATCCTCAGACGCAACGCACGCAGTGGCGACGGTTTGATCCGTCAGATGGAGTTAAATCACAAAGAATTCAATGTTGAATGGGGGCGGCAGCTAAATGCTAGGCAATGGGTAGCAGCCAAAACGTTGCAATTTCACATAATCCTGACGAGATCCGAAAAACGTAGCAAAAACTAGCAAGCGGGTGATTATGTATGTTCACTAAGTAAATATTATGTAAATAAACCCTACACTTCTCGCTATAAATGTAATCAAAACCCATTTAAATGCAGAAACTGATTGAAATTATTGATTTTCCCACTAAAAGTTAGAGAAATCTCAGCCATGTTTATACCAAAATGTTACAGTTTCACATTATCTTGAAAAATCTTTGCAAGAAACGAACAAGCAAGTGAATATGTACATTCCCTGAGTAAATATTCTGGCAACAAACTATACATTTCTCACTAGAAATGTAATCAAAACTCATTTTAATGCAAAAACAAACTCAAGTCATTAATCTTTCCACAAAAAAATGAGCGAATGTCGGCCATATATATTTTTTTTCTTCTTTCCTCGATTGCTGGAATCTTGAAAGTCACGTGACTAGGACGTAAAACAATAGAAAGCGTATAGGCAGAAAAAATGTAACAGTACCACAAAAAAATGGCCATTAATGTACCTCCACTACGTTTTGCAGTGTGGACCAACGTAGTGAGGGTACATTTTCCCATGAGACTGGGTTGAATGCTTACACATGGTCCAGCTTTAGAAACCAATTCCAAGTTCTTCTGTTTCTTTAAGATAATAAGATGTTTAACAGCTTCTAATTTTATTCTGCAGGTCAAAATGAGGAGTCTGCCTTGCTGTGGCGTGCTCATATTCACACTTCTGATGAGCTGTTCAGTCCAAGCCGAGGTAACTATGACTCAGGTTTGTCTGCCGGGAAGAAGTCTACTTAAATCAAGTCATGTAATTGAAATACTTTTGTTTTTATGTTCTTAGCAAAAGAAGAAAGCTGCTAAATCTCAAGGTAAACATCTGCCAATAATGACTGCTAAATTTGGGGTACTAAATGTAAAAATGTGGTTAAAATAATACATGCACATTTTTTTTTATTTACAGCAGTTTCTGTACATTCAGTGTTGTTTTCTCATTTTCAATGGCAAATGATAACTATAGATGTTAAATCTCTAAATATTTAATACAGATTTCATCTATGGATACATGAAATCTGTTTATACATCCTATATAGATGTTATACTTATACCTGAATCTTAGATTTAGATCTAAATATTAAATCAATATCTAAATGTTAATCTAAATACAAATGTATGTTTTCAATCTCAAATACATATCTTAAACCTTTAATCTAAAAAAATATATAAATTAAATCTAATTTTAAATATAAATCTATGTCTTTTATCTTAAGTCTCATAGTTAATTATATAATCCTTTGCATGACATGATGCATAGGCATTACCTCTTGGAAAATAATAAAAAAATTTCTGTGTACTGTGTGTGACACACTTCTATGTGTTTATACTTGCGTAATAAGAGATTAAGCGGATCGTTTCATTTGCGTAAAGTGTTTTTTTAATTTTAGTTCTTTTTCGGAAGGCTGTTGTTCCAGATTTGACGGGAAACAACCATGTAATTACGATTCAGGCGTTCCTTTCCTACGTACAATAGAGCTCTTAGTGTTGAACTCATGTAAGGAGGAGGAGCTAGGGACAAAAGCTGGCTTAATTCGATACAGCCAACATCTCAGGAATGCAAACAAGAGGGTTTAGCTTAGTCTTTTTGATGTTTTTAAAACTGTATTTTTAAATGTATATTTCCACATATTTCATATCATGTGTGTATATATATATATATATATGTTTTTATACATATAAAATTTGGAACCAAAGTCCAGTGAATGTTTTTTTTTTTTTTTTACTTTTTGGGAATATAAAATACTATTTAGATATAAATAATATTTATCTATATATAGGATTCAGAAATATATTCCACATAAGCAGCATTTATTTATTTAGTATTTACAATAATAGATATGGATTTATATTACATTTGCCATTTAATGTGAGTGAGAAAAGTAGTTGAAGCACAGACAGTGCACTAAATAACAAAAATGTCATGGGGATGATACATTTTTACATCTGCTACCCCATAGATAACTATAACAAAGAATTGAAATGTATTATTGTGGGCACCTTATCTTTAATTTTGCTGACTTTAGGTACAGACTGCTCACAGATTAAGACTCGTTCTCCAAGGGCCACCAGTGGAGTTTATCAAATCAAGCCTGCAGGATTTAAAAGCAGCTTCAAGGTTACTGATCAAAGCTTTTTCTAATTATCACTTAACTGAGTGGATGCCTAAGACTGTCTTTATAAATGCCTTATTAATAAATGTAAGTTTTTTTTTTAAATCAATATGGTTCTGGTTAAACTAAGAACTATGTTTTTGGCTTTGTGCTTTTTTCAAATATTTTTAAATATAGACACAGTTTAAATGTAGACATAAAGGCAGGACTGTGTTTAAACCAGAGATGAACCTCATTTAGTGGAACCTGCTTAGGATGATTAAATACATCTGCAGAACTACAAGGAAACCACATGTTGGTCTGAAATGAACCAGGCATTAAAAAATAAGAAGTGTTATTAAAATATTTTTCAAAAAATATTATTTTATAATATTTTTTAATTGTAAAAAAAAATAGCATTTTAATTGTGGCGTAGAACTTGAAAGCCTCTTTATTTGTGTATTTGCTGTTCAGGTGTACTGTGAGATGAATTCAGATGGAGGCTGGACGGTGTTTCAGAGGCGAACTGGAGGCTCTGTTTCCTTCAATAAAAAATGGGCCGCATATAAGAATGGATTTGGAAACCAAACAGGTATGTAGACTAAATCTTGTCTTTGAGGAACTTTTTCCCCTGTTGTGAAATGACTAGAAACCAAATGTAGAAATAAATCCAAGGTACATAAATGTTGCAGAGGAAAAAAATAAATAATAATGAAATAAAATGCATGGGTCTCTGTGCTGAATCCTCAGGTGATCACTGGCTGGGTCTCAAGAAGGTCTTTGCACTGACAAAGAAAAAATCAAATAACTGGATCTTGAGAGTGGATCTGTGGGATCATGAAGGCGGCACTGCTGTTGCTGAATACAAGGACTTCAGACTGGGAAATGAAAAAACAGCTTTTAAACTCCATGTTGGGAAATACAGTGGAAATGCAGGTATGTGAGCATTTTTAGTGTTTAGTAGATTTTTTCTTTCCCACTGAACTACCAGTAGATCTATTCTGTCTAGTATGGTTTTATCAATATCCATGCATTCTTGGATGAAATTATCAAACATCTTTAAACTTCCAGTACAGGAACCCCTCCAGCTGCAGCTTAAACTGTACAGCGAAATCGCAGGGTTTAAAAGTTCACAGCTCAGGATGTATGTTCTTACACTGTGCAGCCCGACATTCTGATGGAGCTACTCGGACTCGTCTATCCGGAAGCCAAACCAGTAGAAGAGGATTATGAAGCTCACTAGAGTGAAACGAGCTGCCTTGGCAATTTGTGCAATTTTGTGCTGAAAGCCCTAAAAAGAAAAGCCGACAACGTATTTGGACAAAGACATGGCTGAGCAAACCTGGCTACTAGGATCTATCAATTTTGCATAAAGAACTCCATTTCACCAGCACCCCCGCCATGCTTCTGTGTTTTCGTCCGAGGAAGAAGTAGAGTCCTTGTTTGCACATGCCCACTTAGGGATTTGCCCATGACGACCAATTGACTTTCAAATATGTTTGATTTTCTCCCGACCTCATGATTCCTGATTGGGAGGTGGTCGTGAGAGGCTGATAGCCCCTCCTTACCCCCTGCACACTACAACGACACCAACTGAAAAATTCTTGCATGACTGGAAAATTGGCCTGAAAAGGGCAAAAAATCGCACGTGTTTGCCCGGCTTAACTCACCATTTCAAATTCAAAGAAATCAATTAACCTAGTGGTCATGTTTTTAGATAGAAGGAGAAAGCAGGAGTACCCAAAGGGGAGCCTTAAATCTACTAAGACCTCCATGTTAATGGAGCTAAGCTACCAAGAAGTAATTCTGTTTCATCATGCCCTATCAATAAGGTTAACTTATCTTTTTTTCCCCAGCGTTTCATTGTTATTACACTCTCACAAGTGCAGCGCACCGAAATTCACTCTCTGCATTTAACCCATCCCCTTGGAAAGCAGTGGGCTGCCATTTGCGGCATCTAGGGAGCAGTGTGAGGTTAAGGGTCTTGCTCAGGGACCCTGAGTGGCAGTCTGTGGGAGTGAGTTTCGAAATCACAGCCTCAGGATTCCAAGCCGTATGCTCTAACAACTGAAGTTAAAATTAAAGCTCCACTTATTAGTTGAGATTGGCTTTCCATCAGATGGAAGATTGTAAAAGAAACATTTATACCATAACCAACGAATGTCTAGTTTTTCTTGCTGGGCTAAACAAATGCTGTTAAGTAGTTTAACAAACAATAAGTGAACTTTCTGGAATGCCCCTAAGGGGAGGCTAGCCTAGACTATTATTATTATTAACTGGGGCGCACGTTAACTCATGAATAACATCACATTATATTTTTCCATTGGTTATATGCTAGCCACAGACCAGGCTCTGGACACCTTATGACCAATACCAAAAGACGTTGTCAGAATGGCACAAAGGAGGAAGACAGAGAAAGCATTTTCAAATTTATAGAGGGAGGTTATCAGCAGGACTTGCAACAGACCTCTCTTGTAGGATGCATTGTTACTAATTACTGTGGTGCTTCAAAGTGATGTTGAGAAAATAAGCTTCCTATCCTTATTTTTGTGCAATTTTTAAAACTTTAATTTTGACAAACTTCTGTCTACCCAAAAGGTGACGCCGTCCGTGGGGCCTATGAGGGCATCGACCAAAATGGCTTCGGCTTCAGCACCATCGACCGCGACAATGACGGCTGCTCCCCGTGCATCTTCGGTGACATCGCTGAATCAAAGTGTTCCCTCTCAGAGGGAGGTGGTTGGTGGTACAGCAGGTGTGGCTCTGCCAGTCTGAACGGTGATTGGCATCCTTCTGGAAATCACATTGGCTGGGCCTCAGGTCTGCACTGGCTCACCTGGAAAGGGCCCGCCCCTTATTCAGCCAAAGCCACGAGGATGATGATAAAGTGTATGTGAGATAGAAGCAAAGACCATGCAAAGTTCAAACCAGGGGCTTACATACATTGCACAAAAGACAACTTTTTCTCTCCTAACATCTCAAGTTGAAACTAAACTTTTCCTGTTTTAGATCAGTTTTTTTGTAAGATCATTTGTTTTGTTAAATAATGGAGTACGACTTAGAACAGTTTAAGATCTGTTTAAAATCAGAAGCCACTTCTACAAATTGACTTTTTTGTCTTTTTGAGCAGTACAACTGGTCTCCCAAACGGTCAATAACCTTATTATTTTCTGTTTTGAAGACTGATTTGTGCTGAAGCTTTAACTTCCTGGCAATTTCCTTCAGATGTTGCCTGATTATGCTCACAAAATTTTCCTCTCTCTATTTATGACACTCTCAATTTTGTGAAGTCAAACAGTCATTTCTGTTGGTAAATACCACAACAACATGACACATCCACCATTATATTTCTAATTGAGTTCAGTGCTTTTTGGCTTGGAAGGTTCCCCATTTTTCCTACTTATGTAACAATGACAACAATCATAACTAAGGAGTTGACTCAAAAAAAGTAAGGTCAATGTAACAGTCATATCATCATCATCTGTACGTCTCTAAACTGCTTACAGGCTTTGCAATGAAAAAAAAAGTTAAAAAATCTGGCTTCCGCTGTACATTCTCGGTACATCCTGTACTTCTGGGTTTCAAGATGAGTAAATGTTTTCTAAACATTCTCCCTTATAGTGCCTCCACTTTCAATGTATTTACCACATGCATTGTAAATCCCTATTTCTACTTTAGCTGTTACTGTTATTTCAAACAGACTGTAAAATCATATGTTTGTGTAGACATTCTGTCACCATCGTTTTGTCTGTCATGCATGTTTAAAAATAAAAGCTTTTCAAAGTTTTTGTGATTATATGTGTAAATTGTTAACTGGCAATATTACTTTGTTTACACATTTTTATGTTTTAATGGGTTCAAATCCTGGCAAGTTTTTTTTTAATTTTTTTAGTAAAGATGACTCTTTTTCCAATGCATGCACTGATTTTTCCGATTGTAAAGTTCTAGCTAATATGCAGAGCTATTAAAATTCCTTTTGCATCCCCACAGTTTTCTTTGGCTTTTTTCTTTGTGTTTGTAGGAGTGTTGGAAATAAGTCAGTAGAGGGAAAAAAAACAGCCATAGAAACTTGTCTTCTTTTGAAACCTGGTAGCTTGTTGTGTCTTTGTTGGTGACAGCTGAGGTCAAGACTTTGTAATAAGGGGTAGTGAGTCATTTACATCTCTGTGGAGAAACTCTGGACCACACCCCTCTGCGGAATTGCGAAGTTCGACCATGCCATCACAATGGTGGAATGTCGGTGGGAGTTGGTTTTTTTTCTGAACTGATCTGTTCATTTTACACTAGTTCTAGGATGATGCACACTTTCCAAATAGTTAAAATTATTTTCTTCTCTGTTGACAGAATTTTAGCCTCTCCTTATTGAGACTTTTTCGGTAAATGTGAGACGGGCCTTTATAATATTTTTCATCAGTCTTGACATTAGAGCTCTACCACTGATGCAATATTTAACTTGTTTCAGTGTTTTTTTGTTGATGTTTTGGAACCCATCGGGTGACTTGTTGAACCTTGTAGTAATATAGCCATCCATCCATCCTTTTTCACTCGCTTAGTCTTTGTCAGGGTCGCGGTGGGGCCAGTGCCCATCCCTGGCAGTCTATGGGCGAGATGCGGGTTTACACCCTGGACAGGTCGCCAATATGTCGCAGGGCAATAAAGAGACACACAAAGACACACAATCATTATCACACACACTCACACCTAAGGACAATTTAGAGAAGCCAATCAAACTAACAGTAATGTATTTGGGCTGTGGGAGAAAGCCCAAGTACCCGGAAAGAACCATCACATGCACAAGGAGAACATGCAAACACCATGCAGGAAGACCACGGGCCGGGAATTTAACTCATAACCTTCTTGCTGCAATTGAAACAGGGCTACCACCATGCAGCCCTATAGTAATATAATTGGCTTTATTCTATGAATCATATGCAAGCTAATAATAATCACAAAAAGTCATTGGTACCAATATTAGATGTTTTTATTATATTATTTTATTTTTTGTGGCTCGTTTTTCTGACATTAGGCTGACAGGAAAGGGGGTATGAGAGAGGGGGGGAGAAATGCGGCAAAAGACCACAGGTCGGATTCAAACCCAAGTTGAGGACCAAGCGACACCTGCACGGCCATATTATTTTGTTTGTTTTGAAGTACAAATGATAATTTATGGCACAAAGTGATCATTTAAAATCTGCTCTTACTGCATTTTCACCTCAATTTTAACCATCAAGACAATCAATCAAATTGATACAATTTAGTGGTACTTTGCTGATACAACTTTTGTAGGCCATGTCATTGTTGACCTGTCATCCCTTGTATGCCAAAGGTATTCAAAATTTTGGCTTGGAATCCAAAGTCGGACAACTGTGTTTAAGGAAAATCAATTTTATGTGAATTTAGTGAAAGGAAAGCTTTTAGAACACAATCATCTCTTACTAAACCTCAGTACATGCGGTTAAACTGTCTATTTTAGTGTGATAAAGACAGACGCGTCTTAGTTGAGGAGCATATTGCAAAGCTTCACATCACAACGTTGATTAACAGACATAATCTGAAAACCCTACTAAAATCTTGACAAGTCCCTGATTGTCTAGTGGTCAGGATTCAGCGCTCTCACCGCTGCGGCCCGGGTTCGATTCCCGGTCAGGGAATTTGCGTTGGTTCACCAACTGGTGGATTGATGTCGAGCTTTGGTACTTTACACTAACATGACTGGTGTTTCAGCCCTACTCTGTGGGAAAGCATCTTACTGAATCTTTAACTGCAGTTGGTATTATACTACCTCCGCACTTAGTTGAATGCATATCTCTAATCTTGTTGAAAGTTGGTTTTCATAAACTAAAGGTGTATTTCTGTAACAACAAAAAACATAATGCAACCGATGTGTTGATTTGGTCAGACTTTTCGTCCTGACCATCTGGCTAGGTAAACTCTTCCTGGTGAATGAGATTACAACCTGTGCATACCACTCGATCACATCTTCCAAGCCCAACTGAGATTTTTCAAGATCTTGCCCAATTTTATGTCTAAGGCGTTTTGTTGTTTAATGTGACAACTTGTGTACTACGACCTGCCAACCCTCAGTGTAACGGGAGATCTTTTCAATTCCTTCTTTTCCATATTAAAGTTGTCTTTTATTGATCTACGGTAGGTTTTCACAAGTCACACAATGTGTAATAATGTGTGGAGAGCTGTAGGTCTTTTCTATGTCTCTTCTACACTACTTTTTTGGGTAGACAGTCAATTAAATTGATACAATTAAGTGGTATTTTGCTGATTATTTACAAAGAGAATATAAATGAAAATGCATCTTGATCACTATGAAACAAATTTTCATTTCTATTCTCTTTGTAAATAAAATATTTGACAATACTGTTTAGTATCAACTCAGCTTAAAAAAAAAAAAAAAAAAAAAAAAACTCCACACATAATAACATCAAATTGCATCAGCTTAACTTCCCAACCAGAACTCCAAAGCTGCTTCCATCTTGTTGGAATCAATGGGACATAACCCCATTTTATATCCGCCCAATCCGACTTCCCATTACAAGTCTTCCTAATCGTGAGGTACTCCTCACGATTAGGAGGCACTCCTTATGACTGAGAAAAGGTTTATTTTTGTTATGGACTTAACATCTAGGTCCCTTGTTTCCATGGGTTATCAAACACATTTGCAAAAACCCGCCACAAATATGGATTTATGAAGGAAAAATAGTTATTCATCATCACCTTCTAAAGATCCACCTGCAAGATGAGGATTAGCTTTTACAATGATTGCATGCTGTATGCATTAAAGGTAGTAAGACCAATACAGAAGACACAGTTAGAGTTGGATAATGTAATAGCTTATGTCCATCCATCCATCCATCCATCCATCCATCCATCCATCCATCCATCCATCCATCCATCCATCCATCCATCCATCCATCCATCTTATTCCGCTTATCCCGGGTCGGGTCGGGGGGGTAGCAGCTTCAGTAGGGAGGCCCAGACGTCCCTCTCCCCAGCCACTTCGGCCAGCTCCTCCGGAAATAGGCGCTCGCAGGCCAGCTGTGAAACATAGCCCCTCCAGTGTGTCCTGGGTCTCCCCCTGGGCCTCCTCCCGGTGGGACATGCCTGGGACACTTCACCAGGAAAAGACGTCCAGGAGGCATCCTAATCAGACGCCAGAGCCACCTCAAGTGGCTCCTCTCGATGTGGAGGAGCAGCGGCTCTACTCTGAGTCCTCTCCGGATGACCGAGCTCCTCACCCTATCTCTAACGGAGAGCCCAGATATACTACGGAGAAAACTCATTTCAGCAACTTGTGTCCTGGACCCAAAGCTCATGACCATAGATGAGGGTAGGAATGTAGATCGACCGGTAAATCGAGAGCTTTGCTGTTGGCTCAGCTCTTTCTTCACCACCACAGACCAGTATAGCGCATGCTTCACAGCAGACGCCGCACCAATCTGCCTGTCGATCTCCCGCTCCATCTTCCCCTCATTCGTGAACAAGACCCCCAAGATACTTAAACTCCTCCATTAGGGGCAGTACATCCTCCCAAACCTGGAGAAGGCACTCTACCCTTTTAAGGCTCAGGACCATGGTCTCGGATTTAGAGGCACTGCTCCTCATCCCGGCCACTTCATACTCGGCTGTGAACCGCTCAAGAGAGCTGTAGATCACGCCCTGATGAAGCCAACAGAACCACATCATCTGCAAATAACAGAGATGCAATCCTAAGGCCACCAAGACAGATCCCCTTAACACCTTGACTGCGCCTAGAAATTCTGTCCATAAAAGTTATGAACAGAATCGGTGACAAAGGACAACCTTGGCGGAGTCCAACCCTCACCAGAAACGAGTCCGACTTACTGCCAGCAATGCGGACCAGGCTCTGACACCGGTCATACAGAGACCTAACAGCCCCTATTAAAGGGCATGTACTCCTTACTCCCGGAGTACCCCCCACTGGACCCCCCGAGGGACACGTTTGAATGCCTACTCCAGATCCAGAAAACACATGTAGACTGGTTGGGCAAACTCCCATGCACCCTCCAGAATCCTGCTGAGGGTGTAGAGCTGATCCAGTGTTCCACGGCCAGGGCGAAAACCACACTGCTCCTTCTGAATCCGAGATTTGACT